GTCCGAACAGTAAAATGTTGAAAATATAAAAGTTTGAAAAAGAAAATCAATGTGCTTGATTTGTATCACAGTTCCTCGTGCTTTGTTCATAGTAAGTTAGTGGCTTCATCAATTTTGACTTAAATGTTACAAAAGTAAAATCTCAATACAAAATGGAAGACCAAGCTTCATTTTCAGTATTAAACTAGTAAATTACATGGGCATTCATTCAGCTGTTTAAGAATTTGACAGATTTGTGCCGGTATTCAGTCAGGAAACTGTTGCAAATAAAAATTACTTCAAAGATGAAAAAACCTCATCCAAAAGAAAGGGACATAAGGAACATACAAAAAAAAAGAATGGGGCACTAAAAGGCAGTAGATTGAGAATCCAATGCAGGTAAATTCTTGATTAAAGATCCATAGCGCATAAATTCTTGATGAAAATGTATCTAGCCATGTTTAAAATCAATCAATAATTTATAAATATTTACGCAACAGCACACAAGCATACATGTCGGCTAAGATACACACACAGGTGCAAAATAAAAGATAACACACCTCTTATATAAAATTGATCACAAATTTGCCTGAACGAATAATGGTCTCCAGTCCCAGTATCATAATTATCCTCAAAAACTAGATGCTGGAAACCTGCTTTCAGAGCTTGCTTTAATCTTCACATCGGCACATAAAGCCAAAAAACATAAAAGAGAACTATTAGAATCTGATAAAGTAATCAAAAAACGAAGAAATCATGGATACTATATTCTTTGAGATTATTTCAAACCCACTAAACCAAATTTAAGTAAGCAATCTTCATTTTAAAAGAACCCCATAAATCTACCTTTTCAGTTCATTTTGATGGTCATCAAAGAAAACAAGAACTCGACTATTGTCTTTAATCCCGTGTTTTCTCATCACCCTTTCCCAATCTATGCTTCCAAAATCTACAAAATCCTTCCCAGCAAAGTATGTGCAATTTCCATCGACATAAGCGGGCCCCTTCTTCAGGTATTTTTCTGGATGACGTGGCGAAAGTGAGATAATAGGTGTATCCGGCATTGCTTGCCTCAAGACCCAAGTCGAATGACCTTTAAAAGCACCACTCTCAATCATCAACTCCGGTTTTAACCATCTCGTGATAAACCAAAGCCCAAAACTGTGGTCGAATCCCATCCCATACATGTTGTTCTGAATGGGCCGAGTCTCGTATATCGGCACAAACTCCTCAAGACCTCTGAGCAAATCCTTTGATGTCCATTCCACAGTTTTACCGTGTTTCGATCTGCCTTTTGACAAGGATAGCTATTGTATGAGTATAAAAATGTAGATACCATCATCATCCTTCCAACAGGATCGCATAACAATATTAACATTCCCAAAAGAACCAAAAGAAAAAAAAATAAAATGAAGAAGTGAGAATTTCATAAGCATGTATTTGCTAAGCCAGAACAAATTCACCTGACCCACAAAGCTACAGAGCAACAACAATAACAAGCAACTAAATTCAAATTCCCTCAAGACCAAATTTCTGAATACTTTTCACATGGTATTTCATTACACCAACTTCTTAAAATTTAAGTCACTTGGCTACAAAGAAAGAAGAAAGCTAAAGTCTTGAACCTCAGATCTCAGTCACCTAAACAAAGAAAGAAGGAAACTAATAAAAGATAACGATAGGAGCTCATCCATATCACATAGCCACTAGCTCCACTACCAAGAAAAAAACAAAGAAAGTTACAAACAAACCATGGATTACTGTAACCACCCTAAAATCATGAAATGGGCAAATAGTTAAACCTTGTTTTCTCCAACCCAGATACTGTAAAAAAAAAAGGGCACTTACACCAGGGAACACCAAGGGATCCGAAATCCGATTCCAGCCCATCAAAGCCAAAGAACTTTAACCTCGATAAGTGATCGGCGGATGAGGCCGAGATACAGACCAAATCTCGCGAGTGGATAATTACAGTCGCGATGGCAACGAAAATCAGCACGATTAGAAGAATGGGCCACAGATATCCGGTTCGGGTCAAGTAATTGGCGATCCGCACGACCGCGGGCATTTGCTTCCGCGTCTTGGACTCGTCGCCGGCTTCGCCGCCTCCGTCTTCCGCTGTCCCGACGCCGTCGATGGCGTGCGGCGACCGCCGCGTAGAGTGGGCCCTTTCGAGCATTTTCTTGGCTAGCTCGCCGCGTGCGCGATGCCGTTCGCAGAGATTGCCGCTTTAAGCTGCACAGTGAACTTCACTAGGATATGGGGGATGATTAATTTATGGAAATATCACGTTTGGCTCCTTTAATTGAGTTATTACTTATTTGCTCCCTGCACACAGTGAACTTCACTGGGATTTGGGGGATGATTAATTTATGGAAATATCACTTTTGGACCCTTTAATTGAGTTATTACTTATTTGCTCCCTTGACATATATAAAGTAGTTTAGACCTTCAAGACTTTTTGTCTTGTATAAATTATGGATTTGGTCCTATCTATATATATATATATAATAAGAATTAACATTTACCATAAATAGTAATAAGGAAAAGTCAACCCACATTTATTATATACTATTTTTAGCAATTTTTTTATTTTACATTTTAATTTTAATTCATTATCAAAAAATTATATGATTCCTAAATTAATGGGTTTTAGATGACGTATCATGTTTCAAAAATTATAAATCATTTAAAATCGGATGGTTCCTAAATTAATGGTTACAAACTTTTCAAAGTTGTAATCTTTATGACATCTTTTCTTTTTGACTTTTAATAATAAAATCATTTTAAATATATATCTATATATATATATATACCCAATCAATTAATCTTGATTTTTTTTTAAATTACTATGTTTAATTTTTATTAATATGCATAAAATAAAAATAAATAATTCATCTTTAGATATATAATTTATAATCTTAATATACTATCATTTGGTGTAGACATATGAATCATAATTTTTTTTATTTCATAAAATTAAATATTATATTTTAAAAAAATATAATGAAACTACTTTTGGATCAATCGGATGATTGAATTAGGGTATTGCCCATGTTGATTGAATTACTTTTAGGTGATATTTAAAATAGTAAAAAAACTTGACATAACTTGGTTGGTCCCAGGTAACTAAGTTATGTATCAGTTTAACCAGACCAAATCGATTATTGAACCTAAATATAAATTTTAATATTGAAAATACTTTATTATGTAGTCCAAACTTCAAATAATCATATTAACAATACTTTTACGACAACATGATTAATAATTTATGAGTATTTATATATTATTTTATTATTATTTATGTGAACAAAATAATTATTTTATTATCATTTTTATTAATGTACGGTAAATATAAGGTTTTCAGAACCGGAACATCATCGAAACGATCAAGTTATTTTATTAAATCATTTATGGTTGTTCAGATTTTAATACATAATACTTTAATATATATATAAAGTGTTACTTAAATATCTAAATAATTTATAAATTTAAATATTTAAACTAATTGGAAAACAATTTATAAATCTCTATTTTATTTAAATATGTAATTTTATTTAAAATAATTTTTAATGTAACAAAATTTCTTTAGAAAATCGTATCGATCCTACCAGTCCAACATACTGATGTTGACGGATTCGATAGCATATATGTTATTCAAGCGCAATATACTGGTTATAAATCTGTTCTCGGTCCATCCGGTCGGACTGTGTCCAACCCGGTTTAATTTAAAAATAATGGGTAAATCATGATTAATGTTATTTATTTATTTAATTTATAATACAATCAAAAAATTGTTTTCCCGTGCATCGCACGGGCCACGCACTAGTTAGTTTGTAATGGGCAATTTTCTTTGACGTCTAACGAATTTTAAAACATTACATGGAGACAAGTGAGTAGTAATTTAAATAATTTACGATGTCATATGTGAATATGTGATGAATTTAATTTTGACACACAAGCTTAATTTTGGATGATTGGTCAAGAATGTATTGAGATTTGAGATTGAACCAATTATGGCGCAATTTTATTTTTGTTGATTTGGCCAAGATTTATCATTGAAATTTAAAATGAAATATATATATTTTTTTAAAATATAACTTCAGAATTATTTCTCTCCACCAATCTTACCCAGAAATTAAAAAACACATTAATATATATATTTAATAAAAAATATCATTCATCTACTCTCATATTTTAAACTACTAAATTTAATCTTCATTATTTTCATAATATATCAACTATAACTAGTATATATCCCGTGCGATGCACGGAGAAGTTCATATTTTAAACTTTTTTTTAGACTTATGTAGATAAAAAATATAATATTAATTAGTTTGTTATAATGTGATTATATGAAAACCAAGATAAAATGAAACTTACCCAAAAAAATCTGCTTAGGATATTTTTCTTATATCATATAAGGAAAAAATAAATAATAAACTTTTATTAATATATTAAAATATGTAATTCTGAATTTCATATAAAGTAAAAGGTATGATAATTCAAATTTATTTTTAAAAAATTACTAAAATAATTAATATTTTAGTAATTATATCGTAAGAATAATCGTATAATTAATTAAATAAAATATTATATTAATTATATCTTAAAATACTTGATTAGATAACTTGGATAAAAAAATTATTATAATAATTAGTTATTAGGAATGTGTTTATATGAAAGTTAACATAAAATGGAATGTTCCCAGAAAAATCGACCTCTTTTTATTCATCATAAGGGAAATGCTCACATGACCACGGTGGTCACATGTTAATATGACCACCGACTTATGTGGCATGCACACATTGGTGATGTATTTTTTTTAACATATTAACATCACAAATGTGTGCATGCCACATCAGCGGTGGGCATAATAACATTTGTCCATGTGAGCATTTCCATTCGTCATAATACTCAACTATTATTTTATTTTAAGATTTATTGTCACATGATATGTATTTGAATAATAATTATATGCAAAATATTATAATTAATTAAAAATTTTAAGTGGACACTTTTAAATAAATCACATCACATTTATCATTAATAAGACATATATTCGATGAGGCAAAAAAATTGAGTAAAATAACTGGGCCTATTTTTTGAACCATCAATTCCATTAAAAATTAAAAAAATAGCCCAAAGTGTGGCCATTGATGAAGTTCGGTTTTGTTAAGAGATGACAGGCCCTTTATTCCAAAGTAAACAGATTGACGGCTCGGAGTAACCCACAAAATCCGATGGCTAAAAATGGAAGCTTTTACATATAAAAGCTGGAAAAGTGAACTCTAAACCATTTTCAGATTATTCCTCAACATTATCGCCGCAACACCTTCTTCCTCATGATTTTGGGTCCATTTTTACAAAAAAATGGCCAAAAATAGAAATGTTAGTCTACTATCCAAATTTTGCTACCTTGACAGCCAAAATGATCGAAATCAATCTCTATCGTTATTTTTTTGTCAGTCGGAGCTCCTCCCTGCCCCGGCGGCTCTGCACCCAACCCGCACAGCAGCTCCTCCTTCTGGATCGTCCGTATCGATCATCATGAATGCCTGCTTGAGCTCGAGGTACACGTCGACGGCGATCTCGGACCACTCGTTGGCGGAGCCGGAGGGGAGGATGGTGGTCGGCGTGGCCAGGCCACCGCCGCCCTTCTTTTTGTATATGTCCTCGGAAGAAGCTGAGGAGGACGTCGACTGGGAGTTGAAAGACGACAGATCATCTTCGGATCTGGAAACGGATCGAGATTGGGTATGATCTTGGCGAGTTTCATGGCGGAGATGAGAATCCAACAAAGGAGAGAGAATGAGGTTGTGAAAAATTGTGGTTTGAGGGAAAGAGGGGAGGAAGGAGAGAAGTTAAATTGTGCGAGAAAGTTAGAGAGAGAGAGAGATAGTTTTTTTTGGAAGAGATAATCAAGGGTTAAATTAAAATAAATCTATAGTGAATCTTTTCTAAAATTTAGCTGCATAATCGGATCACAAAATATCAGGCAACTATTTCAAATAAAATTTGAGGGGGAAAACAACAATTTGAGCGGGAATTGAAATAATTTTTTTAAAGTTTTTCAAATAATTTTTCTTCTCCGTATTTTATATTAATAGATTTTTATTTTTCTTTTCATTTCACCTTTCTTCGAATTTATCTCATTTTTTATCTACAAATAAATATTCAAATTTTTCATTTTTTCAACAGAATCCAATCACGCTAATTGGCAATTCCAGGGAAAAGGGAAAAACTCCAGAAACAAAAAGAAAAAAAATAGATTTTTATTTTTCTTTTCATTTCACCTTTCTTCGAATTTATCTCATTTTTTATCTACAAATAAATATTCAAATTTTTCATTTTTTCAACAGAATCCAATCACGCTAATTGGCAATTCCAGGGAAAAGGGAAAAACTCCAGAAACAAAAAGAAAAAAAATAGATTTTTATTTTTCTTTTCATTTCACCTTTCTTCGAATTTATCTCATTTTTTATCTACAAATAAATATTCAAATTTTTCATTTTTTCAACAGAATCCAATCACGCTAATTGGCAATTCCAGGGAAAAGGGAAAAACTCCAGAAACAAAAAGAAAAAAAATAGATTTTTATTTTTCTTTTCATTTCACCTTTCTTCGAATTTATCTCATTTTTTATCTACAAATAAATATTCAAATTTTTCATTTTTTCAACAGAATCCAATCACGCTAATTGGCAATTCNATATATACCAATTCAAAACAAAATACTTGTCATCACAAGTTCACAACCCCCTTAAAAAAAAAAAGAGATTCATAACTAAGAAGCTGCTGCAGTGGCCAACTCAACATCCTCAGATTCATCAACAATCATTTCATCCTTAAACAACAATTTCAAGTGTGGCACCACTCTTGGAAGAACATGAACATCAGCCAAGTTCACACTCATCAGATCGAAAGCAATGCACGTGTTGTGCGCGTGGCTTTGGTCAAACACCGGAATCTTCGGGTATCTTTGACTGAAATGCGTGAGTATGATTCTATATGCTCCGGCAGAATCTCCAACCTCAACAGCTTCCTTAGTCGTGCTGTGGTTTCTAGCAATGGCCTCGTCAATCATACCATCTTCAAAGGTCGCCTGCAAAAAAATATGTGTTCCACAACAAGAAACTTATTTATTATTTTTGCCTAAGTTTGACCTTATGATAGAAGCCAAAAAAAGAACAATCAGTTTAAGGTTGTGTTTGGTAAGTAGTTTATAGCTTATTTGATTATGTTATAAGCTTTTTGGTACGACAACTTATCTCACAAGCTTCATTCGGTAGCTATTCAAATAATCCTATTGAAATTTTCATTTCAGCTTAGCTTATCCACTAATTGTACCAAACACTTTTATCATATAAGCTAGTTTTTCAGCCATAAGTCATAAGCTATCAGCTATAAGCTCAAAATTCACGTAAAAGCTATAGACTATCTTATCAGCTAGGTTTACCAAACATAACGATGTTGAAAAAAATAATTCAATTTGAAAAAAAAAAAAAGAAAAAAAATCCCACAACTTGCCTCATGAATGAGAACAGTCGCCCCACGAGAAGCCTCGACAAGCTCCGGGCATGGCCTTGTGTCCCCCGAGTACACAATCTTCCAACCGGGTATCGTTTTTCCATCCCCATTGACCCTATCTACCCCTTGCAACACAACTCCAAACGCCTGTGGGCAATGAACAACCGGAAAACTAATCAACCCTTCCAAACCAGCCTCCAAAAGCACATTTCTCAAAAACTTAGCGTCCGGAATCTGAGTCGGGCTGCCCGGCATCTTCAAATAGCTCTCCATGCGGCTCCCTCTTCCGAACAAATTCGGGCCCGAGTTCAGCCCAGCGGGCTCGGTAGAGTCCAAGGACTCGAGGGAGGCTTTTGTGGTGTGCCAACAATCGAGAAAACGCATGTCGAGGTCCTCGAGCCTCTGATAGGCATCGAGAAACAACTTGAGCTTCTTGGGGCCCACGACAATGATTGGTTCGTGTGGAGATTCTTTCAAAAGGTCACGCCTTAGGGCGAGGATTCTCGCGAGGCCTGTGTGGTGATCAGCGTGGATGTGCGAGATCCATATGCATTTCAAGTTTTTTATGGCTTCATCCGCACCTTGGACGCCAAATCTGTAGGGGTAGTATGGTAAATAAAATAAAATTGAAGGAGGAGGGTAGTTTTATTAAGTATACCCTCGAAATTTCGTTTAATAGCTTTAAAGAAAAGATTGTCCTCAAAACTTTAAGTGTTACATATTANTATATTTAAGAGCCAGAAATAATTGTTTCAAAAGAAAAAAAAAAAAGAATTAGATAAAGGTTTTACCTTCTTTTAAGCTGACCCAGTGTTCCTTCACCGCAATCCAAAAGCAAACTTCCTCTGGAGAACAAATTGATGAAAATCGAACTCACATTACGGTACTTTGAGGGCTGAGAAGATCCAGTGCCGAGAAGAACAATCTCGACTTCTTCGCGAGATATATTTTCGAGACAGCTCGGGAGTGAGCTTTCATCCATCCATGGCTCCTCGGTTAATGAATTGTCATTACTATGAAAATCTTTCTTGTTTGACCAGATGTGGCTTACTTGTTTGGAAGCTTCTTTAACCTCTGGAATTTCTGTTAGTAACTCATTGATGATTGATGAGGTAGCTGATGGGCTTGGTATGCATGATCGGTCGAGCCCGAGAATCGAATAGGGACGAAGATGGAACTGTTCAATAGAAACATACATTTATTTGAATTACTCGAATCTGGGAAAAGTTTTCTAGTAGTGAATGATTTTTATATTTAGATTATTTCTGTAGTGATTTTGTGGTGTTAGTTTCTAGCCAAACTCCTCACTGGGGACGATAACACCATGTATTTATCAGATGTTAATTAAAATAAGAGGGAAAGTTACAAAAGGTTTTAAAATAATAAAGTTAAAATCCAGTTTAGATTTTGAAAATTACAAGTACCCCTTTGTTTTTCTGTAATAACATCCACAATAAGCATATTCTTGCAATTTATTCATCTGAGTGGACCTCTCATAGCCTCATACCTTAAGAAGATTCTCTGCATGGATCAGTTGATTGGGTCTTGACATGAGATTCTGAAAGGACACAACATAACCAAGATAATCAAAAAGATATAATGAGAAAAAAAAAATTGCTCAAAATAAAGAAAATAAACCTAAAACAACTAAAAAAATTAGAGAAACACCTTATGAGAGTCTGATAGCGGGCATGCCGAGTTCTGAAGAGACCAAATACCAGGCGAAGGGAAAAATTGAGGACACAGATAGTTAAGACGTGTTGCAATTCTAGCACTCGCCTTTAGAATTGGCACCTCAATATTCTTCCTGGGAAAGTAATAAGAAAAATAAATTAAAACAATAAAATAATAAAAGAAAGGAATGAAAAGAAAAGAAAGAAAGAAAAAACCAACATTTCATGCCCCGCCATAATATGCTGAGCCGCACCAAATTTCAACATCCACTTTTGATAATCATCTGTCTGTGTAATGCATGCTGGAGTTAAATGAATTACACAGTTCACGAGTTTGGAACCTTCTGGTACATCATAACCTGTATCTATAAAATAAGGCTCGAGACACTGTAGAGATGACAACTCCTTAAAATGCAAAAGTGTCGGGCAGTCAACCAGAAGAACAATGGGCCCAGGAACAGAAGGGCCCATTACGTCACTTGGGTGCACCTGAAAGCATTCACAAGTGCAAGTGAAATAAGCAAAGAAAGTTCAGGGTTCATTGTGGTTTTCCTTTTATGATCTATTTTTCAGTTCGAAAAAATTTTAAAGAGTTTAAAGAGGTTATATTGCCTTTTGTATAAGGAGGTAACTATATTTCTGGAGTAATTAAAAAAAGGCCATACATTTTTAATAAATTAACAAAACAAATTAAAAAAACTGATGTTTGATTGCCTTATAAGAGGATAACTATATTCGTATTCACTATTCAGCCCCAATTACATATTAATTAATATGTACTGATGTATATTTATCTTTATAAGTTCAAGATTACAGATATAAGTTTCTAGTGAAAACCCAGTAAAAACAAATATATAACTTTATCTTTTGCCTAACTGTAGTAAAACCAAAAAGATTATATTGAAAATAACACCAAAGAAGCCCTTGACCGATCAACAACTAACTTACCATGACATCCTTACGATCAGACTTAACCGAATTTCCAAGTTGCAGCTCACGAAACTTCGGGCCTGCCCTCAGTCCAAAAGAAGCAGCTTTTTGCGGGTCAAATTTTCCCTTTATTTCCGGCAATTCACAAATATAAACAACAGAAAGATCGCCAGGCTTAGTCTCATTATCAAAAGCTTGAGGAGAACCAGACTCAGTGGATTTTTCTTTTGTCGGCTCAAGAAAATCAACATAACTTGGTTTTAAGATAACAGCTGATATTTTAACAACTTCATCATCAATAAGAACAAAAGGGTCATCAAACTTCCTTGAAATGCCTCTAGGAGATCCATTAGAATCGGGCGTATGGCCAAAGCTTCGTGTATGAACCATAGCAGCATTTGGGATGAATGATCTCATTGCATTCACTAGATACTTCAAATCGGAGGGACCCCACACATTGACCTACACAGACAAAATAAATAAATAAATAAAGCTAAAAGTTATATTAAGTCTTTTTTTTTCCTATAGCAAGAACAACAAAAATAGTTATAAGTTGAATAAATAAGTAAATTGAAATTGAACACTTACAGTCATTCCAATTCCTTCATCCCCCATGCCTGCCAGAGTCAATAAGAGGCCTGCAGCAATAAAATATGTTTTAGGGAGAAAATTGGATATTTCTGTAAAACCCCAATTAAACAATAAATTTACGAGAGGAAATGACAGGATACCTGGAAGTCCACCAGCAGTTTCTGAACATACACGTGAGAGAAATATGTGATCAATCTGAAGAAATTGTACAGTGCGTGAGTAGGAAAATCTAGCCGTATAATAAATAATAGTAAAAACCATAGCACATGGCTGTTTATGCAAGGTACCTTTGACAGTTTAATTTTATGCTCATTGCAGAAACGCTGAAGTCCCTGAAGAAAAGGGTTTCACACTATTAAATAAGTCAAATTTTATAGTAAAAATATCCAAATCCATAAACCATCTTTGGAACATAAATTCTCCACGAACTTCATATGACCACAGCTCCAAATATTTGGTTCTTTTAGGTTCAAACCGAACAACTATGAAATCATTAAAGTTTCTTTAACCACTGACTTAAATACTACTCATGAAAAGTAGCCTGCAAAAAAATTGAATAAAGAGCAAGTACAACTCACTTCTCCAGCATTAAATATAATTCGTTGCTTGTCAAAAAATAGCAGTACTGATGGTGATGTGTCCTGTGTATCCATACCAGTACCAAGTATCTGCAAGTTAAGCATACATATACAACTTTAAGCATTAGAAGGAAAAAAAATCCATATATAAGGGCAATGAGTGTTTTATGTTAGAACATCTTAGAACCAACGCCTGAACCACAATTTTTTTTTCAAGAACTTCTTGCCAACCTTTTTAAGTGTCAGAATGCAAATTGAGTAAAGAGGTTTCTCGCATAAATAGTCAAATACTCAGAATAGTGCAAATAAATCTCCAACCGCTTTTTGTGCTTGCCCAAGTCAGCAACAATTTGTACATACTTTTAACCATACTTAGCATACTTTTAACCAATTTGTACAACCTTCTCAAATGCTCTATGTATTATCTCTAGCAGCAGACACAACTTTTCTTTGTTTGTTTTCTTTCTTATTATCCCATTCTGAAATTTCTTCACCATCTTAATTTTCTCCCAATTTAAACCCCATACATTCTTGCACAGCAATTATCTCAAAATACTCAACTAACAAGGGACCAGGAAGGATAAGAAAATCAAATAATAATTAACATTAAAACCCTCGTTTAACATGATACTACATAATCAATAAGCAACAGCACATACAGAACAACAAACATAAAAATAAATAAAACAAAATATAAGCACTTCTTTCCCTTACCTGAACATAAGAAATGGTGTTAGCGGGATTCAACTTTCGAACTTTCAAATGCAAATTCTTTTTGGGCCTCTCACTCCAATCTCTACCCTCTGCCCTTTTTCGATTAAATCCAAAATTTCCACTCTCACCTTTACCACTTTTATCCTTTTCTTCCATAAAATTTACCTTTTCGTTCACGATCTTGGGTAATGGGCTTGGATTTCTACTAACAGGGCGGGAATTTTTGTTGCTTCTGCTGTCAGTATAGTACGGCTTCTTGGAGTATGACGAATAAGTGGGAAAACTGTAATGGGGTTTGTGGGTTTTGGGCAATAGCGGGAAATAGTTTGAAGAGGAGAGATTTTGGAGGCAGAAAAGCGGCGTGGCGGAGAAAGTGCGGCGATAGCGGTGGTTGGCTGAGGAGAGGAGGAAGCGAAGGTTTGTGCTTTGGGGCATTTTTATTGACGCTGAGAATTTCAAAGGGTTTAAGGAATTAGAAAGAGGTCTCCCACAAAAACCCATTATCCATTTCGGTCGGGTTTTCAAGTTCTCTTTCTTTTTTCCCTCTTATTTTGAAAATTGGAGAATGTCAATAAATAAATAAGGTATTATAGAGTAAAGTGCAAGGCAGTTATACTATATGGGCTAAATTGCAATTATAGTCATATTAAATTATTAATGTAGTAATTTGGGTTCCACTAGAGAGCCATATTAAATACTATAATTTAAAAATAATTTTGATAATGAAAAGTATATAAATTGAAACAAAATTTAAATTACAAAACTTAAATTGCAAATCAAAATTTATCCCAAATATATAAATTAAGAATTTTAACGGCTAAAAAATTGAAATTGCAGCAAAATTTTAAATTACATGACTTAAAATGTTATATATTACTTAAGTGAAACCTAAAGAACTACCTTCATGATCTAATAAGATCAATTAGCCAACTGTCGGGATGATCAATGTTTGAAACGGACCGGTAATCGAACTAGGTTATAGCCTCGAGTTAAAGTTCAGATCAATGTTTTGAAACGGACCGGTAATCGAACTAGGTTAGCCTCGAGTTAAAGTTCAAATGTTGGTTGATCGGGTCAATTTAGGAAACCGGATAAATAGTTTAATTATTTTAAATTACATCTCTTCCGTCTTCCCCCGGCAGGATTGATTAACTCCAAATATAAGCTGGACCCCCGGGAGATGCTTTTCCTTTTCCTATGCCATAATTCCCGACTTGACTGGCTTTCTCAACGGGAGCCTTCCTTCTATGCTGACAGAAGCTTGGGGTGCAATAAAATTTTAATAATATTGTATCGTTGTGTCATCATAAATATTTACAATATAGATATACATACATATATTTTTTAAAATTAAAACTAATTTTTAAAACAATATTTATATATATATATATATATATATATATATAAATTGATCGGGTCAAATCAGGTTGACTCACCCGAGTCAATTTACGGGTCAATTCCGGTTTGACCGGTCCAATGACTACACTCAATAAATAAATAAGACAAATTTTAGTTAACGTTAAGATAATTTAATTTCTTATGTAGGAAATAATTTTTTTAGGAGGTTTCAAATTACATTGTGGATTATGTAAAAGAATATCGAATTAGAGAATCCCTCTTTATCAAAGCTAATTGGTGGATACAATTGCAAGCATTTTGGAAGTCGTAAGTGTAATGCTATAGTTTTTCAGGCTTCAAGCAATTACATAATCCATTATGTTATTGAATTTAATCACAAGATTTTTCTACTGCCGAACGCATTGAAATTTTATGTAGCATCAGAGAATCTATAAATTAGAAAAATCTATAAATTAGAAATGAAGTTCTCATATTATCTCATCTTTGGCACGTTCGTTGACTAAGCTATAAGATAACCAATTGAAGTCACAAATTCTTGTGTGATGCAATATAACCTTTAGGCGAATCAACCAGTCATACTTTCTTTCACAAAAATGTAAACTTATTCTATCAAGCAACATAAAAACAATCAACACAAGGATTTGAACTTTATGTTCTAGATTAACCAGAAAAATTTCAATATTTTTTTGTATTAGGGAACTAACAAGAAAGGCATAATCCCTCAGAACAGCAACCTGACTACATCGAAAACCAATCATTAAGCCGATTTCTAAAAAACAATCAAAATTTCGTATGTACTAATGATTCTCATAATAATTCCGTCAATTTACATACCACGGACAACATGAGACTATACGAACAGCCAGAATTTACTTCAACTTGTGAAATGTAACCAATAAACGAAACTTTTTTCCATGCGAGTGATACATTTCTCACACCAGATGCTGGCATCAAGCAGGAGCAGATGATATAAAGCTTGTTCTGAACAACTTTGTTGAGCCTCTCACAAACTTAAAATTCTTGCCCATCTTCTACACGAATTTGTAGAATCATTATAAGAACGTGTTGCATTTTCTAACAAGCAGCTATCACAAACTAAATCCTGAAATTGAAAACCGTTCAGAACAATACATAAGAAAAATAGAAAAAAATTAAAAACCTAAAAATACAAAATAATGAAAAAATTAAAAGAACCAAAAGTACCTCAAGTATCTTTATGTTCCTCATATGTTTTTCCTCTTTGTATATATGCTTACCTACACGTGTATCAATTATCCATTCATCATGAAAATTCCCATGTAATGCTTCTATAATAAGAATTAACATTTATCCAAAATAATAGGTCAAATTATGGTCAATGTCGGATTTGCATTAAATATTTTCCAAAACTTTTTGTCCTTTTCACACTTCTCATTAATTATGTCCTTTTCACACTTCTCATTAATTATGTCATTTCCACAAATCTAATTAATTCATTAATTACGACATAATTATCATAAATCATTCCATCTGAGCTTTTATCGTTAAAATGTATAGCGATCTGTTATGACCTCATCCCATTGATATTTTCATGAAGCGTCCTTATCGCGTTCTATTTTTTGGTAACCACTCTATATCAATAACCGGATATTTGGTTAATGATAGCACACGTCTTTATTTCAAGGAGCAGATAGTCTTTGACCTTTAATTAATCTGAACTGATTGCCTTGACTTTTCAATTTTTAAAAACTCATTTTTTTAATATTTCGGCTTAAGATTCGGATTTCATTATACAAGTCATCGGATTGTTTGAATGAAAATGAATGAAAAGAACACAAAAAACAGGTAGCCTAATTCAAATAACCCATCCTAAAATATTAGTTTGTTCACAAAAAAGAGACAAATCCTAGAAATCCTAAAATATTAGTTTGTTCACCAATCCTAAAATATTAATTTGTTCACTAAAAATATTAGTTTGATTTTTAGGATTTGTCTCTTTTGAAAGTATTGGTTTGTGATAATGAGGAGTTACCAAATAATCAAACTCATAATGTTGTGTACAAGGAGGTTTTTAATAATATATGATTGTTACCGAACTTTTTATGATTAAACAATGTTCTTATGTATTTTAATGATTTCAATTTCGATCCTAATGCACGTGAGATTATATTATTCTTCCAAATTTTACATCCCGTGCATCGCACGGGTTACGTACTAGTTGATGTGAATACCATAAAAAAGAATTAGGAAAAATGAAAGAGTAGGATAACAACTAGAACACAAATAACTATACCACTAGCTTGTCCCATTCCCTCTAGCCAATACACGTCCATAATTATACTAGGACGATATCTTTGCATACACCTTATAACCACAATCAGAATCCCATGAGTTTGAATGAAGAAATAAAACTGTTGGCCCTCTTTGCCACATCCTATTATCATCATAGCATGATAAAAGTCTTCTGGGGGCTTCTCGTGACTTACACAACTTCATCTCTTCATCACTCGACTCATATATCGCTTTACATCATTCTTATAAGTTTCGGTAAAAAAATGTGAGCTGGATAGTGTAACGATGTTTGCCACAATCGGCCTCTTGTCAAGGCACTAATAATCTTCTTGCGATCTTCCTCAAAGGTTTTCCCCGCGTCATCTTCCTCCAAGAATTCCAAAAAATCGAAGTCCTCTGATAGGATGTTGAAGTTGAAGAGTTTTCCCCTAATTTTCTCTTCTTGCCCCGGGACAGTAGCAAGCCATAATTATACACACTTTGAAACGCAACACATGGATTGCTTTCCAGACGACAAACTTTAACGATCCAATCTCAGAAATTTTTACCAGAAATTTGCATATCCGCATACATAGTAGAAGTGATACAATCCGAAGTGCATTCCCGAGAGAACAAAAGCGTGAAGGTAGTATTTCGAATTGTTCTCTCACGTCGGGAATGCACTTCGGATTGTATCACTTCTTGCCTATATGCGGATATGCAAATTTTTGGTAAAGATCCCGAGATCGGATCGTTAAAATTTGTCGTGCGATGGAAAGCAACCCAACATTATGTGTTGCGTTTCAAAGTGTCTATAAATATGGCTTGCCACTACCGTGGGGTAAGAAGAGAAAACCAGGGGAAAGCTCTTCAACACCCACCGCGATTACGATCACGATCGAGGAAAAAATCTTGGAGAAAGATCGCAAGAAAAATTATTAGTGCCTTGACAAAGAGGCCGATTGTGCCAAACATCATTACACCATCTAGCTCACATTTTTTTATCGAAGCTTATAAGAAGAATGTAAAAGCGATATATGAGCTAGCTCACATATTTTTTTTACCGAAGCTTATAAGAAGAATGTAAAAGCGATATATGAGCTGAGTGAGAAAGAATATGAAGAGATTAAGTTGTTTAACTCAGGAAAACAGAAGCCCCAAAAGACTTATCATGCAGTGATGATAATAGAATATGACAAAAGAGGACGAATAGTTTTATTTCCTCATTCAAAACTCATGTGATTCTGATAGGGGTTATAAGGGATATGCAAAAATATCGTCCGGTATCATTATGGACATGTATTGGCCATAGGGAACTTATTTGGGACAAGCTAGTGGTATAGTTATTTGCGTGCTAGTTATTATCCTACTCTTTCATTTTTTCCACATTTTTCCCAATCTTTTTCATATTACTCACATCAATTTGTTTGTATTTGTGTTTTTTTTTTTTTTTTTTTTAGTGGAGAGTATGNTAAGATCCTTTGTATTGCAGAATCTGTAAGACAATCGATAGAGCCAACTGCACATTTAGTCTGGAAACTAGTGGAAGAAAATAAATTGCCAAAGATGGCATGGACACCATTGCAAACGATGGCATCATGAAATAAGCTTGCACTCCACACAAGATTTGGTTCCTCAACTGGTGACATGGACCCCATTGCTCGAACAGTTTTCTGATTGTCAAGCTGCACCTCCACATCCCTTTATAGTACTTTTTAGTAAGAGTCATAAGAAAACAGCTTTGATGCCAAAAAAGCTTTGATGAGATACGTGATTTGTATTCGTAAAAATCTAAATTCTAATTTGACTAATAGTTTTTAGTATACAAAATTTGCAGTCACAAATTCAAAATTATTGAATATTCAATTTATTATTATGAATATAAAATGTTTAATATGTATAGAGAGAGAGTATAAAATATTTATTATATACAAAATAAAATGTATTAATTTCACAATATATTTTTGTATTTAATATATTTATGTATTTATAAATAATATCCGAAAACGACTTTCAAATTAAATATATTCGATTATCTTAATCGAATCAAATACGAATGATAAGTTAAATTCTTTAAATAGAATATGAATGCAAATAATCAAATATTTTCATGAATTTGAATTGAATAGTTGATTATTCGCCTTAAAGTTCAAAACAAATCAACAAGATACACAAATACTTACCTTGCCCCCGGCCTCATTATTGATTTCGCTTATTACAGAATCAGAATATTTTTATAGTACTGACTTTCCAACAACATCATGTGAACGTCTATTGGTCTGGAATTAGAAGCTGGCAACCAATGAGGAGGACAATCAACATCATAACCCTAGCAAGGTATTTCAACACATTTCCAGTTGTTAGAGCCACAATAATCACAATGGAAACTCTATCACAGTATTAGATCGAACAATAATAATAAAGGAAGAAAAAATGTTAAAAAAATTGTCAATGATGCCTAACAACCTAAGTGAGCCACAATTACAGTTACTCAATTAGAAATCATCTTATTTATAACCATTATCAAAGTGCTGAAATATAAATATCGACAATAAATTAAAGGGGGTCAAATTTAACCTACCCAGCTGCTCTTGACTTGTTCAGAAATTTCTTTGCTGACTCTATCCTCTTGTAATTTGACATCTTTCAGGCACTGGCTGATAAATTAGTATGATCTGCAGTCAGTAGGTTCAGGTGGCCAAGGGAACTCCGCAATCTGCACACACCAATATCCAAACATTCAGGGGTGACTATTTTTTCGATACTTCACATCAAATCGAAAAACAGAGAGAAAAATCGTCCAGAACGAACAAGGATCGTAATAAACAATATCCTACTTTTTTTATCTCGTAGTTGAGTACCCTAAAAATTCCAGGCTCTAGCAGATCGATCGATTAACCTAAGCAGCGTACCTGATTCTTTTCGACTTGTTGGAGGTAATCCTGGGCGACCTGCTTCTATTTATCGCTTCTTTCACGGTTGAAGGCTTCCATAGAATCGTGGCTATGGCAGCCGCCGGCGGCAATCGAACTCTAGGGTTGGGTTGCGTATGATTGAGTGGCTTTATATATAGATTTGAGTGTAGGGTTGCGTATGATTGAGTGGCCTACGATCCATTGGGCCTTTAAGTTTGAGCTCCACTGGCTGTGGAGAATCGATCTGCATCGCTCAAGGATGAAAATGAATTTCTAGGGCTTTCGATTTTTCTTGGCGAAAGGAAGCACATATTTTCTGTTTAACAAACTGCTCCCAATACACGCACACTGTAAAATAATTCCACCTATGCAACCCAGAGCCTTTTTATTACGAAGCCTGGAAATAATTCCAGCTATTTATACAAAAGCCTTTTTATTTGAAAACAATACCGTTATCTTTTATAAATTCATTTAGATCATTTTCTTTACCTTAAACTTATTACATTATCGCTATTAAAATTTAATTTGAATTTATGGTTTATCATAAGTATATTTTTTATTTTTTTACTAAATCATAAACAAACTGGTTAATCATAAGTATATCTTAAGTATATCATAAGTATATTATCTATTTTCTTTACTAAATCATAAAAAATTGGTTAATCTAAAGTATATCATAAGTATATTATCTATTTTTGTTTTACTAAATCATAAAAAATTGATTAATTTTAAGTATATCTTAAGTATATTATCTATTTTTTTAAACAAATCATAAAAAACTAGTTAATCTTAAGTATATCTTAAGTATATTATTTATTTTTTTAATAAATCCTAAAAAATTTAATAGACAAAAAAATTAAAAGCAAAAAATAAAGTAAATAAAAACCATAGATAAAACAAAAAACTAAAATCAACTCAAATAAACATCAAATTAAATATGAAAAAGCTGCTTTCAAAGAACTTATCTACAAACTATTCAAGCCAGTCAGCTCTCAAGTCTCTACCAATTCCTCACAATTTGCAGCGGTCACGTTTTCCATCCGCCGCCGAATGTGAAGGTAACGTTGGAATTTTGCCGGAGTAACTCAGATCTTAAATCCAGCAACTCATAAATCTAAAATCAAACCTGCACAACAAAAAAGGAATTTAAAATAGATAATATACTTAGGATTTTTCACCAAGCCTTCGATGAAAATTGAAATTTAGGACAGAGGAAAAAATTCACCAGAGCTGAATAAGGTGAAAGGAAAGAGAGCAATAAGCGAGCTCACCACATAAAACAAAATAATGAGAGCTAATCTTATTACCATTCTCTCAGTTTTATCATTCCTTGGCTAATCCAAATTCTTCACATCCACAGATGAAGCACAAAGCAGAAAAATCTAAGCAGCCCTTATTCCCTTACACCTCAATCCCACCTCCTTCTTCCGCGCCGACACACTCAACCCAGACCAACCATTCTTCTATCAATTCCCAAACCCGGAACAACCCCACGACCACCACGCCGACGGCAAATTCGGTCGCCACGGACACATCTAAGATTGTAAATTCACGCATCTCAGACTGTAAATTCGGCGGCAGTGGACGGTGCAGGCGACGGGAGGAGGGAGTCGAAGGGGAGAAGATCTCGAAGCGGGGGTGAACCTCCATTGGCGGCGAGATGCAGACCTTCTGGACGAGGAGGATTAGGTTTTTGTGTGGAGAGAATTAATGAGGGTTTCAAAGAGCATATTCTGGAATTAGAAGGTCTACATTCTCGTCAATATGAGCCACTAACATTTAAGTGGATTGAAAATTTTAAACTCGTTATTGGTAAATAAAAAGAAATGAGGTGGTACAGGGGGTAATTTTCTCTTTTTTCTTTCTCTACACTTCTATCGGTATCAGTTATTTCCTCGTAACTTTGTCTCTGTATATATATTGTGTGATAGGGTTAAGGGCGTTAGGTTTGATTAATAAGGTGGGCCTCCCACTTTCTAAAAACTATTTTTAGACCAATGTGGAATGAATTAAACTTGAGAAATAACCGGCTAATTTAATTTACACAACCATGATAATTTCGAATTTGTTTTGCATATATACGATCGATTTTTTTCTTTTACTAAAGTGTTAATTATATGTGAGTGTTAATTAAAGATTCGGTCAACTATCTCGTACTCCTAACAACCAAATTAATTAATCTCTCAACAAATATGCTAACCTCTCTATCTACTCGGATTTAATTAAGCCAACAACCTATTAGTTGTTCTTTTTCATCTCTATAAATTGGAAGCAGACCATTTGATGAAACACACAGAAAAGGAGAGAAGAAACACGGCAGAGAAAGAAAGAAAAGAAAGGGAAGAAAGGAGAAGAAAAAGAATGGAAAAATTATTCCTAAATAATATTGGAGGGACAAAAATATCAGAGAGAAAAATATAGAAATATTTATTTGTTATCAAAATAACAAAAGAGTGATATTTTTTTTTCTATTTTAAGTGCTCAATTATCGACTCCATTCCAGTTCGTCGGAGCTCTTAAATCTGGTGTGCTACAGATTTAGAGACGTTTGCCGTTGTATCTTTGGGGAAGTTACGCCTAAACCGTTATTTGGTGTGACTGTTTTCGTGTTAATTTATGTCTTCATCCAGCCACTCTTATCGACTTACTGTTAGCAAAGCTGCTTAAAAAGTGACTAGTACTGAGAAAACTGCAATAATGATCAACTTTGGTAGTCAGTTATTAAATAATGTTGATTGTCTCTAACCATATATGGCATAAATGAATAGTCTTTCAGTATGCATACAACAATGTGTATGCATCGAGTGAATCAAATTCATTCGTTTTATGCATTCAGGTGGTATCCTTCTTTAACGATTTAGGATTGGATGAGAAAGCTATTTCTAAGACGCTTGCTCGTTGTCCTGAAATTTTTGCAGCAAGCATAGACGAAACTCTCAAGAAGAAGTTGGAGTTTCTTTCTAGTGTCGGGATTTCTGAAACCCATCTCCCGAGAGTTATCAGGAAATACCCAGAACTATTTGTTTGTGACGTCGACAGGGCATTATATCCTAGGTACAGCATATGGTGTAATTTTAAATATCACTTATTTTCTGTAAAAAGGATAGTTATTAAAATTAGTCTAGTTTATCGCTGAAGATGACTAAAAACCTTTTGTATATTTTTTGTGTTTTGGACAGAGTAAGGTACCTGATGGAAGTCGGATTTTCAGAAAGCGATATAGTGTCCATGTTACACAGATTCTCACCGACACTCGGGTATAGCGTAGAAGAAAATTTGAAGCCAAAGTTGGAGTTCCTAGTGAACAACATGCAAAGGCCTCTGAGTGATGTGGTTGCTTACCCGAGATATTTCAGCTACTCAATGGAGAAGAAGATAAGGCCCAGGTTGATGGGTCTACTTCTGGATCTGGAGTAAACCGGTGGTTGTGAGCTCAGATCTGCTTGAACCGTCTTTAAACCGTTGCTAGACCGCAAGAATACCTGCAAAAACTCAACGCCGGAGGTGTTTCCGGCGTAGAGCCTCCGACGCTCAAGTCAGTATGAGAGTGATGAAGAGGGGCTGCGCAACAGCTATGGGGGAGAGTGGGAGTGAATGAGAGTTAGGGTTTAGGGTTACCTCATCTCCTTTATATAGGAGCGAATACTTACGTGAAGTGTCCAAAATGCCCAAGTCGGTGGACCTAGAAGGTCTAAAATACCCCTGTCGATTCGTCTCCCCTTTGTTGCTGAGTCATCGTAAGATTCCTTCTTATCTTTGATAGTATGTGGAGCTTTGGATATGTTGCAAGTGTGGTGAATCGTCTTCACCACTTTGATCCTCGAGATGCCCAGAGTCGACCTCGAGCACTAGGAGGTCGACTTAAGAATATATGCGGTTTCGGAGGCTACACCTGGTTTAACTCCCTGCGGTGGTCGTCACTTAGAGAGTCGCCATGCGGAAGTCGACTAGTGGAAGTCGACTTAGAGTATCTGGATGATTGGATTGCAACCTTGATGTCCTTCTAGTTATGAGGTCGACTAGTAGAAGTCGATTGTGAGAAGTCGACTTAATGGAGTCGACTAGGCCGCTTTCTGCATCTTGTTGACTGTTTTTGGTAGAGTCGACTTCAGAGAAGTCGACTTGAGCATGTCGACGAGTCACCTTGATATGCAAAGTCGTTCAAATGGCTCACCGGTCGAGTAGGAAGCCTTTTAGACCAGGTTGATCCTTATATGGCTATATCACAGGTATTGGGTTCTGAAAGGTAAGAATGTGGAATTTACATTGAAAAATATGTTGGGTATAAACGATGAAGAATTTGCTGCTGCGTATTTAGAACTGGGAGAGATGCTTGTTCTTCCTCCTTGAGGGAGTTTTTCTTTGTGCTTGTACATAAATCTCTTTATTTGATGGAATTTGCATTCCTCAAGGATATGTTATATCCTTTTCTTGGAAAAAACATTTTTTTCATAGTAAAATACAGAAATATCTTTATCTGGTTGATTCAAAATAGCACTGATTTGTTGAAAAATAACATAGGGCAGTAAGTCACTACAAAATAGCACTAGTTTTCTTAGGTTGTGAACCAAATATATATCCTCAAATTTCACCCAACATACAAGATTCGTTATATCCTCCTATGCTTTGAAACATATAAGAAAATGAACTGAACTGTTCAAAAGGAAAAATAAAAGATAAACTTGAAAATGAAGTTATGATATATTATGTTATATTCTCGTGGACTTGCATATTGGTGTACAAGTCTAGGTCGACTATAAAAATTTGGGTTGAACTGTATAAAATCACAAATTTAATCAACCTAATGATACAAATTTGGATTATGTTAAATAACATAAAGTTTGACATAATAACATGTGTCACGGTTATATTATTTTACATATCAGATCACTTTAATATAAAAAAAAATACATTATTTTTGGTCATCCAGACATCCACTGTGTCATCAGAAGTAGCGTATTCCTTCAAATTTAAGCAACCTATTAAACAACACTTGATCGGCCGAGCATGCACTCATAATTAAAAAATCGAGTAAATGACCTACATGGTATTTTGATATTAAAAAAAAAGGAATAAAAAATAAAAATTGATTACATATTTATAAGAATTGGTTAAATAATATAATCCCTGGAGTCAACAATATGCAATTGACTTTTAGACTATTCCTGGTATTTTCATATGAAAAATAAAAATAAAAAATAGGATCGATAAATAAAAATGGATGACATTTATAAGCATTCATATCTTATTGATTAGATAATTTCATTAAATAATAGAAAAATATATAATCACATGAGTCAACAGTAGATAATTGACTTTTACCTAATATATATATATATATATATATATATAGGGTCACGCTCACATGAGAATGGTGATCAACGAAAGAAATAAGAATAAATCTCAGTCATTCGATAATCCAACAACTAAAAAAAAGTACTAGATTTTAAACACACTAAGGGCAATGTAGTAATATTACCAACCAAGCAGTGGGTCCCACACACCTAATTAATTTCCAAACACAAACTCATCTACCCAACGAATTAGTTCATGCCACCCACGCGGGTGGCGCCCATTTCTTGTATTAACAAATTAAGGAATGACATGTGGCAATACATTTGTCACTCACACACTCAATATTGCTATGGACAAAATTAAAATAAAGGTTCATTAGTAAAATATAAATAATTAATAAAAATAAAAATAGTTAATGAAAATACTGACAAACCTAATAAAATAATTATTAGAAAAAATATGGTACTATGAGTAATCCACCAAAAGTCTCGGAACAAATAGAAGCACTTATAGAAATAGTAAAAAAGAACCAATTAGAAACATTTGAAAAATTAGACGGAATAAAAGAAATAATAAGAGAATTACAAGATTTAGTACAAAAAGAAAAAAACACGGAAAAAAGTATTTAAGCCTATTCAGATAGAACCACCAACAAGTTCTAATGGATGATATAGATAGGTTAACTCAGTTATTAGAAAAATGCAATATTGAAGAAACTAGAATGGCAAAAATAGATGATGAGGATAAACAAGGAATAATTTATGGAATAGATAGTGAAAGATGAGCCAACATTTAATATGACTGATCAGAAACCTTATGCAACACCGCCACTATCACCAAAACGACCTAGAACAAATAATAATGAAGCATCTACTTCACATAATAATTATGTAGAAAGTAGTTTTAGAGATTTTATATATAGAAATGATTATAGTTATCATCAAGAGAGAATAAAGAAAAAATATTCCACCAGCATATTTAGAAAAAGAAAGAAATTTATCTAATGGAATATTAAATATAGATTGTGCAACTAATGCAGAAGATTTAATAGTTACTTGGACTAATCAATTAAAATTATTAGTTCAAACTAATGACTCAATGATAAATGGAATGACATTAATCGACTTTGCTAATTATATAAGATATAAAACATCTGGAGTATTATTTGATTATCTAGAAAATACTCAAATTTTATTAAATCTTGAAGCCAGTGGTTCAGAAACAGGAGCAGAATATAAAATATCAGCCTTAAAAAAATTAGCAAAAGATTTATTGAAAGAATTTTTTGGAATTACAGGACAAGAATCAAAAGAAACACAAAAAGATAAGGTTGTTAGATTTTTAACAAATATGAAGCTATGTAATATATGCTACATAGAAAATTTTTTCTGTCAAGTAAGAGAGAATTTCTATAAAATTTAAGATCGATCAGGACTAATAGAAATAGTTGAAAGTAAGCTTAAAAATGAAATGAATAAATACATACAGAAGAAAATTAGTGAAACAAAAGAAGAAAAAACTCTAGGAATTTTAGAAAAATATGCAAAAGAATATAGAGATGAACTTTGTATAAGAAAATTAGAACACCATGAAATGACAAAAATCGATTCAAGATGTTGCAAACAATTAAAAAGTGTACCGCAGGAATTTGGTTGTTATAACCCATACAAAAAGAAAAAATATTATAGATACAATAAGTTTAATAGACGATATAGACCAAGAAGATATAAGACATTTAGAAAACCGTGGAAAACAAAATATAAAGGAAAGTTTAGAAAACAAAGAAAATACTTAGGAAAACCTAAATATTGTCCTAAAGGTAAAAAGAATTGTAGATGTTGGAAATGTCAAAAAATAGGGCACTATGAAAATAAATGTCCTAAAAATATGCCAGAAAAAGAAAAGAAATTAAAAATGATATTTTCTTTAGGTTATGAACCTATAGAAGAAGAATACGAAGAAGGAGAACTATTAGACTTTGATATATATGATTTAGAATCAGAAACAGATAGTGATTCAGAAACATCTGAATCAGAAGATGAGTAAAAACAGTTCATTCATAAAAGTTAAATTATTTAATAAATTTCTACTAGCATATATAGATACAGGAGCAACAATATGTTTAGCAAAAGAATCTATATTACCTAGTAAATATTGGAAGAAATTAGATAAACCAATTATAGTAAGAATTGCAAATAATAAAACAATAAGTATTGATTATAGAGCAACAGACTTAGTATTGTTAATAGAGGAAAAACGGTTTCCTTTACCAAGTCTTTATAAACAGAATACAGGATTACCATTAATAATTGGAAATAACTTTCTTAAGTTATACAGTCCATTTATTCAAAGACTAAATACTATAAGTCTTAGATGTCCACAACTAGATACACAGTCTAGTAAAATAATTACTACAAAAATATATAATACATCTTCTTTCATAAGGGGGGAGATATTAAGAAAAGTTTCATTTCAAATTCATAAAGTAATAAGTATAACACTAGAAGAACATGTTAATCAACTTTTAGAAAACATATGTAGTCAAAATCCATTAGATCCAAATAAAAACACGAATAACATGATAGTAAAAATAGAACTTATAGATCCTAGCAAAGAAGTCAACGTGCCAAATAGAATACCATATACAGAAAGAGATGTTAAAGAATTTCAAGAAGAAACTACTAAGATGTTAGAAAATGGTATTATACAACCTAGTAAAAGCCCACATAGTGCACCAGCATTTTACGTAGAAAACCATAATGAATTAAAAAGAGGAAAACGAAGAATGGTTATAAATTACAAAGAAATGAATAAAGCTACTAAAGGAGATGCATATAAGTTGCCAAGACAAGATTATATTTTTAGTCGAATTAAAAAGGCAAATTGGTATAGTACATTAGATGCTAAATCAGGATATTGGCAATTAAGGTTACATGAAGAAACTAAACCCTTAACAGCATTTAGTTGTCCACCTCAAAACCACTACGAATATAATGTAATGCCATTTGGACTTAAACAAGCACCTAGTATATATCAGCGATTTATGGATAATAATCTTAAAGGATTAGAGTCAATAAGTCTTGCTTATATAGATGATATAATTGTTTTTACACAAGGATCAAAAGAAGATCATTTAAAAGAACTTGCAAAAGTTTTATTACAGTTAGGTAATAAAGGAATTATTTTAAGTAAGGAAAAAGCAAAAATTTGCAAAAGAGAAACAGAATTTTTGGGAATGAAAATAGTCGAGGGAGGCTATATTGAACCTCAAAAACATTTACTTGAAAAAATACATCAGTTTTCAGATCAGCTTCAAAACAGAAATCAAATTCAAAAATTTCTTGGATGTTTAACATATATTGGAGAAAAAGGTTTTATAAAAAGTCTTGCAAAAGAAAGAGAGTTACTACAAAAAATGATTTCAGAAAAAGTACCATGGAAATGGACAGACAATGCAACTAGAGCAGTACAGTCCTTAAAAAGACTATGTACTCAATTACCACGGCTTTACCTACCAAAACCTAGTGATTTACTTATTTTAAACACTGATGCAAGTCAGGATACTTGGGGAGCAGTCCTTCAAGCAATTCCAGATGCATATGAAGAGTTTAATAAGTTTATCGCAAACAACAAACCATCTGAAGTTAAATCCTTTATACGAAGGATGACTAAAGATAGTTTGGATGAAAATAGTGAATCTAATGATTCTATGCAATTAGTATTGGGAAAAACCAATGGAAAGCAATTACTGTTATCCAAATGGGTATCAGGAACGTTTAAGCAAGCAGAACGCAATTATACAACACATGAAAAAGAAACATTAGCTTTTATAAATGCTTTGGAAAAATTTAAACTTGATTTACAACCAGTTAAATTTATTTTTCAAACAGATAGTTTGTATACAAAAGATTTTACAAAATATCGAATAAAAGAATCTTACAACAAAGGTAGACTTTTAAGATGGAGTTTGAAAGCACAACAATTTGATTACATATCTGTATATATTTCAGGAAAAGAAAACTATTTAGCAGATACATTAACCCGAGAATGGAAGCACTCAAACCCGTCTTAGAAGATAGTCTAAAAATGCTGGAAAAGCAGGTAGAAGAGCTCTTTGAGCAGATAAAGAAAAAAGAAAAAGAAATCAGCAAGATAAAAGCCATACTATTTGAAGAAAAAGGCAAAGAAGAAAAGAAAAATGAAAATGCAGAAACATCAAAAGAAAAAGAAAGAAATGAAGAAAAAAGAAAGACCTCATTTTGATGAGAAAGAAAGAACAAAGAACCATTATGTAATATTTACAGGTCCTAATCAAGGGATATTTTCCCAATGGAGTCAAGCAGCCATGTTTATAACAGGACAGAATGTTATACATAAAAAATTTTCTAGCCTGTTCGAAGCAAAAGAAGCGCTAGCACAGTTCAAAATAAGCTATGCGGGAAAAGCACAATCACCGGCTACAGCAGCACAGAAGCAAATGCCTATAATAGGCAAGATTCCAAGTATCAGACCACTAACGATTAGAAGCATACAGTCTAAACAACAAAAAGAAGAGATGACCAAGCTGACCAAAAATATTTTTGACCATGAATTCAAGTTTGTGGTTAATTATACAGATGAAGATAAGCAGACAAGCATTTATCCAACTGACGGTCTATATCTTGGACCAAAAGCAATAGCTCTACCAGAAGCAGATCCGATGAAGGTATACATGATGTTCCAATCAGGATTACTAAGTTGTATTTATTCCAGAGATACAAATATATTCCAATACTTCCCGATCAACATCAAGAAAGCAGTTTCTCAATATTGCAAGTACGTTCTTGTGGGAAAAAGGAAGGATTCGTGAAAATATTTGCCACCACACCAATTTTTGGTGAGGGGGAAAGCTCACAGGAAGTAATACAACCAGCAATCCAGTTTTGTCAAATTGGAATAAGCAATAGAAATTATCCAGACATCGGTCAAGCACAACATGAGGACGAATTAGTTCAGTTTCTAAATAATTATGTCATAATCTTAAATAAAGGCATTAAAATCAAGGGAAGGATTAATTATGCAGCCAAGTCCATTATTATTTGGAGCATGCAAGCACGAGATCCAACAGAGCTAGATATCAAGTTACTTAACAAATATCTGGATACACTTATAAAAATACAATTTAAAATTCCAGAAATAGTTAAGAAAGAGATCTGCATCAGGCTACAGAAGGAATTTGCAGAAGATCACATTTGTGAATTATGCAATCCAGAATCACAAGGAGAATTTGAACCTATCCAGGAATGACGTAAGCGCTTACGTCAGGAGGCAATAAGAGAGCAGATAGTGGAGGATAATGGAGCAAGATAGTACTGGACGAAAATGGAGGATCCCACCTTCTTTTTAAAATTGTCTTGTTGTAATAATAGATAGGACCTCATGCATTATGTAATGGGATGGTGAGTCACCACCCACACCCACTAAGGACCAATAATGTAAAGATGTCGGCCATGATGTAAAAGAGGCAGAGTTATAACTCTTGCCTATAAATAAGTGTCTCAAATTTCATTTGAGGACACAGCAATTCGAAATAAAATTACTTCTTAAAGACACTCTTTCTCTCTCTAAAAAGTTTTAATGCTTTCATATATAATGAGTTTCTAAATACTTAGTAGATATAAGAAGAAAGATTAAAATTGTTAGTTGATTGAGCAATAGTTTCTCTGGAGCACTGAAAGTTCTGAGAAAAAGCCGAAGCTGGTATGCGTCAAGGCTATTAAATCCAGAATTGTGTTGAGAACAGGCGGAATCAGGTAACTCTTTTAAATCGAGTACTTTTATATCTATCTTGTTGATAATTGTTATTGATTTCTTAGTTTCCCATGGATATAAATGATTTTTGGTATATGCCATATAGAGAAATATATAAAGATATAAATCGTCTCAAAGCATTAATAAATCAAATTGCTTCATTAACAAAAATGTTAAAAGAAAATGAACAAATGTTATTCAACTTAGTAAAAATTTATGCACCTAAAGAACATTCAGTAAAAGATCATTTTCGAATATGCGATAATATTACTTCTTCAAATAATAGGATTAAAGAGTTAATAAAGAAAGCTGAGAACCAAGCATTTAGTGTAAGTGTTCAAATAAAACTAAGAATTCTAAATATAAGATAATAAAAGACAAATAATGGATAACGAATATCATGTTATAAAAAATATAGAAGAACAAGGAGTTTATTTATCAGATATATTATTAGATAAAAAGGTAGTAACAAAAGTAAAAAATAAAGGAAATTTAGATTTAGAAAAGAAAGAAGGAATAAATAATAGTATATTAGAAAAAATAAATAGAAAAAATATAATACATTATGGAATAATGGATGGAGAACAACCAATTAGAATAGAACAAGCAAATTATAATTTTCAAGCACCCTTAGTTGAAATAAATCAAATAGAAAAGAGATTAGAAAAAATAAAAGAAGAAGAAAGAAAAAAGATAAGTTATATACACATAAATACAGTACAAATAGTATTACGATCTACATTTAGAGAAGGAATAAAGACACCCGTTAATATAAAAGTTGAAGATAATAGAATTATGCATAAAGAATCTAGAAAACTAGGAGAAATAGAAGGAGATTTAGGGTATGGAGTAATTAAATTTAATATATCATTACAATTTCCTATACCATTATCAACCAAGAAAATTAATAACTGCATAGGAATAATATGTAATTTTCAAGAAAAAACATTAATGGAATCAGGAGATATACCTATGGTTGTTTGTTACAGAATAGCTTATGCATTAAGTAATAGTAGTTTAAGTATGAATTATCAAAATCAAGAAAGAATATATACGCAAAAAATATTCAATGAAACCAGTACCATTATTAAAAATGATAGAATTCAAAAGGAATTCTTAAGAGAACATAGTAGACGATCATTTAGTAATTTAGGAAAAATATGTGAAAATAATTTATTAAAAATTCAAGAAATTGAAGAACCTCATAGTAGTAGTAGTTTATATAAAGGGGATATAGAAATAGAAAAATTAAATAAACAGGTAAATGAGTTAAGCTCATTAGTAATAAATCTAAATAATAAAATATAATTTGTAGTAATGGATAAGAGAGATATAAATCTTGAATTAAATGAATTATTACGAAGTTGAATTAACTGAATTATTACGAAGGGAAATCAAAGAAGCAGATTATTTAATAGAAAAATCAATTCAATATTCATATATAAACAAGGATGAACAAAAAATAAAACAGATAGAATATGATATACAAAAATATAAGAAAAAATTTAAGAAATTACATAGAATAGGACCACCTAAAACAATAATATAAATGGCTTTAAAGAAGAAAGTATATACAAGGTTAAAATATGGTATCAAAGCCTGGTAACAGGCAAAATAATTAATTAAATGCCACAAATAGATTGGTTAAATGCATTTCTAGCAAGACGTAAAACTCTTGAAAAGAAAATTACAAATACAGCATCGCATTCTGAAATACATGAAAAACATATAAATTATTGGAAAGATAAGCTTGAATGTATAAATTTAGCTATCCAAATTTTAGAAACAAACAATAAAACCTATTCAAGATTAGAAGAGCAATTTTTTGAAAAATGTTTAGATCCTTGGAGATACAAAGAATAGAGAAAATAAGATAAAAATGAGTACAATAAAAGTTTATTTGGACATAGAATGGGAAATTCAAAATATAAAAACAGATATAATAAGATATGCTTATTTACATGATATTACAAGTGAAGAATTTTATTATGACATAATAATGATATGTGAAAAACAATTAAAAAGATTAAGAGATTTACAAAAACAAGTAGCTGTTGCATAAAATAAAAATACTATATAGCAAATGGATATTATCTATAGCATAAATATAATTGGGGAGAAATTGCTAAGGGCACTCCAATGGGTGCCACCCTCGCGGGTGGCATCGAGTGAACCCTACCCAACCCACCCATTATCTTTCACACACCCCAACACACTTACACACACACCGACACACGCACTGTACACACACACCGACACACGCACTGTACACACACCAAAACACACATCCACACACAGCAATATACACGGATACACACAGTAGCTTTTCCGGTCGGCCGTCACCCAAGCCGTCAACCTTCCGCCGTCACCTTCTTCATTGCACGTCCGACGTCCGCTGACCTTCAACCTCCGCCTCCGGTCTCCCTTACTCCTCCGCCGCCGCACTGGTTCCAGCTCCCAACCCCGATCTCCGCCGCCCGACGCCGTCAACCTTGTCTCCGTCACCTTCTTCATCCGACGCCCGCTGCCCCGTCAACCTCCGCTTCCTGTCTCCCTGACTCCTCCGGCCGCCGCACTGGTTCCAGCTATGGCCCCGATCTCCGCCGCCCGACGCCGTCACCTTCTTCATCGAACGTCCGATGCCCCCGTCAACCTCTGCCTACTGTCTTCCTGAATCCTCCGGCCGCCACAATGGTTCCAGCTCCATACCCGATCTCCGCCGCCCACCTCGAGGAGTGGTGAATCGGCCATATCTGATGGTTCTAAGGCGACGGCGCGGTCGTCTGTGAATGGCCGTGAAGCTGCTGAGCGGCGGCGAGATAGAATGGGTAGGAGGAGGAGTTGGGTTTCATTTTGAAAATTTGATATTATATGTGGACCCTGTTGCAATTTTAATAAAATTTGATTGTATTCAATTTAGCCCATATGCCTAATTTGTAATTCACAAAAAGTACACAATATTATTTTTATATATTGTTTTTTATTCATATATATTGGAATAATAAATAAAACATTAAATAAAAATAATATAAAATAATAATTATTTTTTAAAATAATAAATTAGTTTTTATAATATAAATAAAAAATTAATTAACTGAATAATTAAATTATTTCGATTTGATATGAGTTTGGATTCGCACATAAAAAAACATGTACTACATAATGCACGATAGTATTAAACAAGATGCACATTAGTGATTGTCATATTCCACAATATTATTAAACCAAATGCACATTAATGATTTCATCCGAATAACCCAATTATAATATTTTCAACCAAAAATATTATAAAATATTAAATAAAAATATGAAAATACTAAATATATTGTTAGAATATAAATAATAAATTAGTTAAATTATTTAGGTTTCTCAATTAATTAACCGAATAACTAAATTTCTCAATTTGATTTGAGATTGGATTCGCACATAAAAAACATACACTGCATAATGTACGATAGTATTAAACAAGGTGCACATTAGTGATCGTCAGATTGCACAATATTGTTAAACCAAATGCACATTAATGATTTCGAGAATGCAAAGGAAAAAAAAAACGTTGTTGTGCTAGTGTACATTTTCATATATATTAAAATTCTGGTTATTTTGGTTCGATTTTGGCTTTATTCAAAGAAAATTAAATAATAGCAATGACAAACTATATAAAAAAAAATATTTTTAAATTTTACCTATTTATACAATATTTATTTTCAACAATCAATTATATACAAAGTTAAATAAAAAATTATATATACTAGATAATTTGATTAAGGTAAAAATAACGGTGATTGAAATACACATTATTATTATTTTTTTCTTATTTTTAAATGCACATTAAAATATCAGCTCAATAGGTTGCACAATGACATTGGACAAAATGAACATTAGTGTATGTGTTAATGCACATTATTAATTTATGTATTTTATATATTGTCTTTTTTAGCCAAAAATAATTTAAAATATCAAATATAAATATTAAAAATATATATATTTTTTATATATAAATAATGATTATTTCAATTATTTTGGGTAATTTGTTAATCGATCGAATACACCAATTGTTTTGATTCGATTTAAGTTTTGTTTGGGACAAATCATTAAAAATGTAGGGGTTGTGAATGCCACGAATTGCACAATAACGGCTTAGAGATTGCACAATATCTGTTTTTTTTATATATACAAAAATCTTTTTATATTTTTTTGTTTGAAATATTTTTAAATACAAATATTAAAATAGTAATTACATTTGAATTAATTACAAATTTGACCAAACTAAATTGTAATATACCAAAAATTATATGTTTAAACTCAAATCCCTAAGTTTTATCTAATTTTCAAAAAACAACCACAATTCTACCCCTCCCCTTGCCCTAGCAACCTGTAGGTCAGAATTCAAGGGGTCGCTGCCGCCACCACCATGGGAGAAGACGGAAGAGGTGCCGACGGACATTGTGGCGAGTTCGATGACGGAATCCATCCACGGTGGTTCTCCGGCGACTCTTCAATGGAGGTCCCCGATTCTCTCGTGGCTATCCCAACGGCGTCTGGTGGATCAGTGGAGAAATTCGCGGCCTTGAAGTGGCAGACTGAATCGTTGCCGGCGGCGGCCACGACAGTGAAAGCGAGGTGGAACTCCGGCGCTCATCAGTCACGTGTGTCGTCCTCCCTAAAGCTTCGCCGCTGGCTCCCTCGCCTCCGTCTTCCTTCGTGTCGCGTCGCGTCTGTCAGCCGCCTCACCTTCGTCCGACGCCGGTTGCTTCGCCTCTGTACCCCGCCGCTCGGTTCGCCTCCGTCCGCCGCTGCGTCGCTCGCCTCCGTCTCCGCCGCGTCGACTCGCCTCCTCCGCCGCCGCGTCGATCGCCTCCGTCTCCGCCGTGTCGACTCGCCTCCTCCGCCGCTGCGTCGTCTCTGCTACATCTGCTGTCTCGCATCTGGCCGGATTTTGTGTGAGCAGTTGTGCGTGTGTGAGTTTGGGTAGGTGTGTGTGAGAGAGATGAGAGCAGGTGTGCACGTGAGTTTGGGTAGGTGTGTGTGAGATAGTGTGTGAGAGAGATGACAGATTTTAGTTAGGTAGTGGTGGGTCCACTATGTAAGTGGTATTTGACCATAATATCCTTAATAAGTTGTTAAATGGATATATTTGACTACAATATAACCACTTAATTACAAGATTGCCACAACAAATTGATTGATATTAATAAAATTTGACTTGATCATGACCATTGATGTGTTGAATTCAATGGTCCAAATTTATTTTTATTTCTTTTACTATCTACCATTCTCACATGATCCCATCTATATATATATATATATATTTGTTTTTTCGTTTGAAATACATGCAAGAATATCAATTTCGTATCATTTAAATAGTAAAATGAGATTACAATTGGACGACTATTTAACTATTCACGTACTAGCTAGTATACATATTGTACTTTTGAAAATTGAACCTAGTCATGTATCTATACGAAACAATTAAGAGTTTTTCATTTATGAAAGGGTAAAAGTCAATTATCTACTGTTGACTCATGTGATTATATATTTTTCTATTATTTAATGAGATTATCTAATCAATAAGATATGAATGCTTATAAATGTCATCCATTTTTATTTATTGATCCTATATTTTATTTTTATTTTTCATATGAAAATACCAGGAATAGTCTAAAAGTCAATTACATATTGTTGACTCCAGGGATTATATTATTTAACCAATCCTTATAAATATGTAATCAATTTTTATTTTTTATTCCTTTTTTTTTTTTAATATCAAAATACCATGTAGGTCATTTACTCGATTTCTTAATTGAGAGTGCATGCTCGGCCGATCAAGTGTTGTTTAATAGGTTGCTTAAATTTGAAGGAATACGCTACTTCTGATGACATAGTTGATGTCTGGATGACCAAAAATAATGTATTTTTTTTTTATATTAAAGTGATATGATATGTAAAATAATATAACCATGACATAATAACACGTGACACATGTTATGATGTCAAACTTTATGTTATTTAACATAATCCAAATTTGTATCATTAGGTTGATTAAATTTGTGATTTTATACAGTTCAACCCAAATTTTTATAGTCGACCTAGACTTCTACACCAATATGCAAGTCCACGAGAATATAACATAATATATCATAACTTCATTTTCAAGTTTATCTTTTATTTTTCCTTTTGAACAGTTCAGTTCATTTTCTTATATGTTTCAAAGCATAGGAGGATATAACGAATCTTGTATGTTGGGTGAAATTTGAGGATATATATTTGGTTCACAACCTAAGAAAACTAGTGCTATTTTGTAGTGACTTACTGCCCTTTTTCCAGTCACATTCTCCTTAGTGTTTTTTTTTNATTCTCCTTAGTCTTTATAAGCTAATTATGTATTTTATTTAAAAAAAATGTTATTTTTCAACAAATCAGTGCTATTTTGAATCAACCAGATAAAGATATTTCTATATTTTACTATGGAAAAAATGTTTTTTCCAAGAAAAGGATATAACATATCCTTGAGGGCAAATTCCATCAAATAAAGAGATTTATGTACAAGCACAAAGAAAAACTCCCTCAAGGAGGAAGAACAAGCATCTCTCCCAGTTCTAAATACGCAGCAGCAAATTCTTCATCGTTTATACCCAACATATTTTTCAATGTAAATTCCACATTCTTACCTTTCAAAACCCAATACCTGGGCCTTATCTTCTTCTCCAGTGAGTAGCTGAAATATCTCGGGTAAGCAACCACATCACTCAGAGGCCTTTGCATGTTGTTCACTAGGAACTCCAACTTTGGCTTCAAATTTTCTTCTACGCTATACCCGAGTATCGGTGAGAATCTGTGTAACATGGACACTATATCGCTTTCTGAAAATCCGACTTCCATCAGGTACCTTACTCTGTCCAAAACACAAAAAATATACAAAAGGTTTTTAGTCATCTTCAGCAATAAACTAGACTAATTTTAATAACTATCCTTTTTACAGAAAATAAGTGATATTTAAAATTACACCATATGCTGTACCTAGGATATAATGCTCTGTCGACGTCACAAACAAATAATTCTGGGTATTTCCTGATAACTCTCGGGAGATGGGTTTCAGAAATCCCGACACTAGAAAGAAACTCCAACTTCTTCTTGAGAGTTTCGTCTATGCTTGCGGCAAAAATTTCAGGACAACGAGCAAGCGTCTTAGAAATAGCTTTCTCATCCAATCCTAAATCGTTAAAGAAGGATACCACCTGAATGCATAAAACGAATGAATTTGATTCACTCGATGCATACACATTGTTGTATGCATACTGAAAGACTATTCATTTATACCATATATGGTTAGAGACAATCGACATTATGTCATAACTAACTACCAAAGTTGATCATTATTGCAGTTTTCTCAGTACTAGTCACTTTTTAAGCAGCTTTGCTAACAGTAAGTCGATAAGAGTGGCTGGATGAAGACATAAATTAACACGAAAACAGTCACATCAAATAATATTCTTTTTTCCCCTTATTAAGTCACCAAACGTATTTCACCAAGAAAGAAAGCAACCTGATCAAACTCCTCAGGCTTGCGAAGTAGTAATTGTGGACTTTTAGCGATAACCTGACCCAACTTCTTTCTAATATCCATTCGTCTGAAATGTTCCACCATTAGCTCTATTTTGTCTACAGAACATCCTAGAATATGTGGCCAGTTCTTGATTGCACTGGCAGTTGAAATTCTGGGGATCTGCCATAGTATATTAGCATGCTTGTTAACAAATCATCTCAGTGGGTTATTAACATCCGATATACATTTCCTGACGTAACTTTACTACCATATGATACAGAGTAGTATTTTTGACATTATTAAGCATTTGTTTCTGATCAGTACCTTCTCATCATCAAAGAAATCAACAATTTCCTCAAAATTCTCCAGTATGCTTGGAGAAACAATCCAAGGATACTTGACAAGCATCTTACTGATATCATTTTCTCTTATGCCAATCTGCAAGTAACATATTAAGAATGATTAGAAGAGACATTTTTAAACTTTACCTTAAAAGCTTTCACTTTGACATGCATATCACCAGAACGGAGTGATTTTATCTACATATATGTTCTGAATTAAAGGTTTATCAGGTTCTAGAATGTTATTACTAACTTCAAAGAACCCATTATGGTAAAATAAAAGGAAGATCCTTCCTTCTGTTATGGATGCAACTATGAGGAAGATCTCAGTACTCAGGATAGCCAGTCAAAAGCGTTACATATGCTAATTATCAGATTAAGCATACAAAAGAATTAAAAGATCAACTGTGTTGTTAAACAAATAAATAGAAGCTCCATAAAACCTCATTTTTGCATTGGAATTTTTCTCGACAACTATGCAGCACATGTTTCACATCCTTGTATAACTAATAAATTGAAGTTTCCAGCATCACTGTAATCACACAAGCCTTCAGTAGTTTATCATCCATGGCCATACATCCTGATCGTACTTTTACAAGTAAATGGCATTGCAGTTGAATTTGTTTTGAAAATCCTAGACCACATCAGATAGAGTAGATAAGCACTATGTTTAGAATGTAACTTTTCGAATGATTGCAACCTTGGCTTTATTCTCTTGTGAATGTCATACAACAAGATGGGTGGAAATAAAAGAAGAACATTTCTGACTCGTTCATTAGGAACCCCAATATCTTCCAAGACCTTCACAGTTACCTTTAGACGAGATTCTAGTGGAAGAGAAAGAAGACGTGGAAAAGATTCAATGAGGTACCGGAAAGAGGTGTTATCAGAACCCAAGAGATTCAGACCTCCACGCCTTGCTTCAACCTATTACGCGAAAAAGAAAAAGGGGGGTTCATGCAAAACAAAAGCATGCAGGACATCATCTGACAAGGTATGAATCAGAAACATCAAATTTTCAGCAAGTATTCTGACCTTTTCAAAGAATGCCAAAGTCTGCTGCACGTCCTCATCGACAGAAATGGAGAGGTGTGTCATCATACGCCGAGCATTTTTCCCAATAAATTCAGAATCAAGACTACCAGAAAACAAAATTTCCTTCACATACTTAACCTGCGAAGGGAAAAAGAAAATCAGAAAATTCAGAAATTTGCAACCACATGTACATGAAAATAGCCACTTTAAGGAGAAAAGAACAAAAAGTGAACAAAAAAATGCCGAAAATGATCCAGTCAGATTGTCAAACACCTTGTGAACAAGGAGAGGTAGCACATTGGAGCCGGAAGAAGAGAGATAACGAGCCAAGCGAGTGGCGGGGGAGAGAGGAAGTCCTTCGCTCTCCAGGAAAGGGAGAATACCTTTGTCCCCTTTCTGCTTGGCCATCTGATACACTCTGTTTTTAAACTGTACAGGCCCTTGATCACCGGGCCCTGCGGCGGCGGACCACGAGTTCAAGTCGTCAAGGTCTTGGACGCCGTCGATCAGCATCTTCAAATAGTTGGGGCAGCCAAAGCTAATGCGAGACGCGTCCTCCCTCGAAACTCCAAGCTGCTCCAGATACTCTCTGATGGCTTCTCTCACTTCTTCTAAGCGATTGCCGTCGTCTATTTGTTGCTGAGCCTCAGAATCGAAGCTCGGGAAGGTCGAGGTAGTGTAGCTACAATTACTGTATTTTTTGGGCTGATAAATCGTGAAAATCGGAACGGAGACGGAGATGGGGGTTTTGGTAGGGCTTTGGGGTGGTTTCGCAAATATGAACAGTTGGGGTCTGAGAGAAGGGCAACATAACGGAGCAGTGATGACGTATGGGTGGAGATGATGATAATGGTAACAGAGCAGGCTCGGAGCCGCCATGTAAGCCGGCAGAGCAACTGTGCTCAAGTCTCAGGTCAACTTATTACACAACAGTACGTTGAGACTCGTATTAGATCATATCAAGAGACAGGCGGACGGCAGACCTATTATCATACAATCTTCAATAGAACGTTTTCAATATAGTATTATACAAACGAATCATTTTCTTGGATTCCCACTAAACTAAGATTTAAAACTGTTTGAGTTTTACTAGCGCTCTTTCATCTCTAGGTCATTATCGTCTTAAACAAAAGTGAACTTTATATTTTACGAGCATAACACAAATAGGAAAAGCATGGTAAAAGATGCAGCAATAGAAATACTTCCATCTCTTTTCTTCAGTGGAACTAATATTTCGCTATGAGCTAAAAAAAAAAAATCAGTCATTGCTATTACAATTTTCTAATCTCATACAATATAAAAGTAAATCTTGCCAGGCAAAACAGGCAAAGGAGCATGCACCACAAAAAATTATCATCTTCAAATGCTTCGTGGGATACTGCATAGATGCATTCTCCAGACATGTTGCAAACCCAAAAACCAAAAAAGAATGTCCTACATAAAAAGTAATGTGTAGCTAGCACCACTCAGCCCAGGTCAAATATCATGTAGGTTGATGAATCTAGTCAGGTCTTCATTACAGAATTACATTCATATAAAGATCCAACTGATACAACATGAGTACCAGCTTTTCTCAATTGCAAACCAGCTGCACCAATTCATCGGCACACATAGCACATTACACAGATTCACCGCATAGTTTTGCACACTGAAAACTAAAGCTCTTTTGATCTTTCATTAACAATAAAACCCAGGAAGGGCTGATGATTTTGTTTTAATCAAATAAATATTTCACAGAACGGCTTTGTAATATTCCATCAGAATAATGTTCCACAAAGGTTATAAAATTCACCAAACAAGAATTCAGAGAAGTGCAGAATGAAAATAAAATGCAATCCACCTAACAACAAAAATAAAAAATGAACGACGAAAAATGTCAGCTACCTGTAAAAATCCACCGATTTAATTTTACTAGTCGAGACCATGGTGAATCAATCAGTCGTCAACCTCCAAGGAAATCAACCAACAAAAATAAAAAGAGGCTAATTGCAAACAGAATGGAGAATACAGATCTGTGAGTTATTCCCTTACACCTCAATCCCACCTCCTTCTTCCGCGCCGACACACTCAACCCAGACCAACCATTCTTCTATCAACTCCCAAACCCGGAACAACCCCACGACCACCACGCCGACGGCAAATTCGGTCGCCACGGACACATCTAAGACTGTAAATTTACGCATCTCAGACTGTAAATTCGGCGGCAGTGGACGGTGCAGGCGACAGGAGGAGGGAGTCGAAGGGGGAGATGCAGACCTTCTGGAAGAGGAGGATTAGGTTTTTGTGTGGAGAGAATTAATGAGGGTTTCAAAGAGCATATTCTGGAATTAGAGTGGCTACATTCTCGTTAATATGAGATACTAACATTTAAGTGGATTGAAATTTTTAAACTCGTTATTTGGTAAATAAAAAGAAATGAGGTGGTACAGGGGGTAATTTTCCCTAACTGATACGCATAGAAGTGTAGAGAAAGAAAAAAGCGGAAAAAGAAACATGACTAACCAAGGCATCATCTGCTAAGTTGTGCAAGTTGTGCAGTACATCTACATCTAGGGCATTTATATGTAATGGTGTTCAAAACAAGTTTTCGGCCACACCTAGATAGGGAGATCATGCTCAACTGGAGTGAAAGACTGCAACAGGCAAGTCCTCATATGGAAAATCAAATTAAACGATCTTATTAAATTCATCCAATACGAGATATATAAAATCAGAATGAATCTACATTTTCACGAGATAAACACATAATAAATATCACCAAATTAACACACAAATATAACCAAAATTCACAAGAGCCCAACTTCACCAATTAACACAAATAATTCTCCACTTTTAAAGATCCGAACAACTCAAATTTTTCAATGTTCTCAACACAATCCCAAGGCAACAAAAACAAAGTCTCAAGTCCATTATTTTTCCCAAGTTAAGCACACGAATGCAATCTCCTTTTCTAAGAGCTCAAATCCAGTTTTCAGTGTGCAAAACTATGCGGTGAATCTGTGTAATGTGCTATGTGTGCCGATGAATTGGTGCAGCTGGTTTGCAATTGAGAAAAGCTGATACTCATGTTGTATCAGTTGGATCTTTATATGAATGTAATTCTGTAATGAAGACCTGACTAGATTCATCAACCTACATGATATTTGACCTGGGCTGAGTGGTGCTAGCTACACATTACTTTTTATGTAGGACATTCTTTTTTGGTTTTTGGGTTTGCAACATGTCTGGAGAATGCATCTATGCAGTATCCCACGAAGCATTTGAAGATGATAATTTCTTTTTGAGGCTTAAAATACTCTGCATGACAACCCTACACACTTGCTGGAACCCAACCTATGCCCAACTTCCTACGGCATGCAAGACAGAGTTTTGCAGTAAAGATTGCTTGCACATAAGGAAATTGCAACTTCTGTAGAAGATATCTAAATACCAGAAGAAGACATAACATGACAGAAATTCGGTTTAAAGACTACTTTTATCAAGCCACCAAATGAAAATATCGAGGGATTGAAGAATATCAATCTCATTGGAGAAAAAAGTTTCGCCTATAAAATTGGTATAACGTGTCATTGTTTCCGAACCCTGAAACATAAGAATCCCATTGCAAATCATTATAGTGCACATCATCATCCCCATAACAATTATCACAGAAGCGAAAGAAAAGAAAAATGTAAAGAAGACGAAGCGGAAAAAGAAACATGACTAACCAAGGCATCATCTGCTAAGTTGTGCAAGTTGTGCAGTACATCTAGGGCATTTATATGTAATGGTGTTCAAAACAAGTTTTCGGCCACACCTAGATAGGGAGATCATGCTCAACTGGAGTGAAAGACTGCAACAGGCAAGTCCTCATATGGAAAATCAAATTAAACGATCTTATTAAATTCATCCAATACGAGATATATAAAATCAGAATGAATCCACATTTTCACGAGATAAACACATAATAAATATCACCAAATTAACACACAAATATAACCAAAATTCACAAGAGCCCAACTTCACCAATTAACACAAATAATTCTCCACTTTTAAAGATCCGAACAACTCAAATTTTTCAATGTTCTCAACACAATCCCAAGGCAACAAAAACAAAGTCTCAAGTCCATTATTTTTCCCAAGTTAAGCACACGAATGTAATCTCCCAAGTTAAGCACAACTTTAACACAATTTCTTCACCAATTAATCTCACCAACATAGCTCAAATCCAAAAATCCCAATATCCCACTAAATCAATATTTATTCACACCAAGTTATTCACATAACTATATCTCCATTTACAAGATCCGAAACCACCAATTCCACAGATTTACTCAAGGTCTCGATTCCACAATTTATAAAGATTCACAATTAACAGTTCACGAAAAGATTCGCAATCCACAATTCAGAATAACATATTCTCAATCTCCAACGAGTCGCACATCGCAAAACAGGGATCTAAACGAACGAAAATAGAAGAGAAAATCGAGATTACCATGCTCCTCCATTCTACACGGAAAGAGGAAAAGCGGATTGAGGTTCGAACATGGTCACTAGTGGCCTCGGGAAGACTCTCGCTGCAGCCCGGAAACCCACACGTTCTCGAAAATGGCCCTGTCTGCCGCTGCTCAAGCTCTCGGTGGCTGTTCGAAATCAAGGCGCTCAGTCCACGAAAAGCCCACTCTCGGATGGTGCTCAAATCACCGGAAAAAGGCCCTCAGCCCCGGTACTCTTCAATCAGAAAATGGCGCCTCAGCCCGCCGTCAGAAAGAAAAACTCAGCCGTTGGTCGGGTCGGACCTTGTAGCGCCGGCGATGGTTGGTTTCATCCGCGACTAGTAGCTGCCAAATGAAGGTGTTCGGAACCCTCTCAGCCCACTGGTCTGGTCGCCCGGCAATCTGTTGGTTGGCGGTTCCCGGTCGCGGTTTTCCCGGCGTTCGCTGCTCCTTGCCGGAAATGGCTGCTCTCTGTCCGTCCGGTAGGGCTCGCCCGTTCGGCGGCTGCGGCGGCGACGATGGATGGTGAACGGACGCCGGCAAGACTGCTCGTGGACAGGGGTTTGACGGCTGCTTCTCTCGGCGGTGCTGGCTTCAACGCGACCGGACGTTGGTCGAGGGAGACGACGGCTGGGGGAAGGTTGCCGGAGGTCGGTCGGTCGGTCGGGGAAGAGGAAGATGGCGACTTGGCCGTAAGATTTGGTGAAAAGTGAAAGCCGATAGAGATGGTCGACGGGAAAATTTTAGGGGAGGGAGATGCTTTTTCTGTCGATCGATCGATTACGATCTGGTGTGGGGGATTTCCTGATTCTGCTGTGGGAGAGATAAGGAAGAATGAAGGAGGCGGCTGTCTCTTTCGGTAAAAATAGGGCTGCTAAAATGGTCGCTTGGGCTTAAGAAAAGTTGGGCTGATTTGGACTTAGTTCGGGCCAAAATGGAGGACTGTTTTGGGCCAGCTTTTTCTCTTCTCTTTGAATTTCATAAAGTTCCCTTCTATGAGAAAATTACACCCTTTACAACACCTTTCTCATTTTACTAGTGTGTATCCCGTGCGCTGCACGGAGGGGTTTTCACTTAAAACCTTTTCTAAAACTTTATATTATACATAGTTATTTATGTTTAACATCTTATTATTATAAAAAAAAAAAATACTAAATATGAAAAATTATATATTATTTATTTGAATATAATGAGTGTCCCAACCAAACTAATAACATCCAACATATGATATATGATAAAATTAATTATATGATCGTCATACTTTTTGAAAAAATATACATATATTTCTAATAAACATGTAAGATCCGCATTTAAATTTGTATTTGGATATGGGATGAAAAATGAATATGTACAAATAAAAAAGTACCAAGAACCTACATAAAATGAGATTCTTTATAAACTTTAAAATATTTTGTAGTTAAGCAAATATTAACAAACAAAATCATCAATTAAGTTGAACTTATCGAATATAAAATATAATTTATGATATCATTGACCATATTTACCCGTTGTATTTAAAGTTATCATTGACCATATTTTTATGAATTAAGGTTTACAAAATATCTTTTTCAAAATAACATTTTTTTTTAATTTGAATTTGACTTTTTCATCCAACCGCCATTTTCCACAAAAATAAAAATAGTATTTTGGAAAATTTTAGACGTGAAAATCAAATAAAATTAATTTAATAGTAATCGATTAATTTAATATTATTCAAAATTGTTTAATTCGGTCAACCCGATCTTAGTGCACGTTTAATTGAAACAATCGCTTACAAAAAAAAAGGTAATCGCTTACAAAAAAAGGAAGTGAAATCTATCTATATAATATAAATCGGATTTGAAAAAAAAAAAGGAAATAAAATTTCATAATTAATTAATTTAAATTGATGTTATCCGATTTATATCAACTCCCTTCCAAAAAAAAAGGAAATATCCGATTCCTACCAAATCGATTAAAAAAAAAGGATTATGATATACGTCCAAATAAATTACAATTGAAATGTAGGCGGGATTATGAAAAAAAAATAAAAAAAACTTTACCGAATGTTTGAAAAAAAAAATCGGATTAAAAAAAATTAAAAGGAAAAAATTCAAAACGTGAAATTAAAATTAAAAACGTGAATTAAAATTAAAAAAATTAAAAATACAAAATTTACCAAATCTCAACCCATCAAAAAAAAAGGAAAATCGAGTGAAATAAAACGTGAAAAAAAAGGAAAAGCGAGTGAATTAAAAATGTACCAAATCGGATTTTAGAAAAATGGTAACAAATCTCATCTCATCCTAAAGAAAAGGAATTATAACAAATTTAACAAAAAAACAACCAAATCTTATCCTAAAATAAAACAATCCGATTTCCATAAATCACATCCAAAATCAAATTAAGTTAGGCGGGATAAATGAAAAAAATTCAAAAAGAGTTTCCAACACAGGTAATTTTCGAAAAATTTGAGAGGGAAAAAATGATGTTTAAGCGGGAAATGAAATATTTATTCAAACATTTTTCCTTCTCCGTATTATATAGTAATAGATTACATAAATAGAGCCAATATGTAAATATTAGCAATATTAAAAAATCTATTGTTTTTATTTGCATAAATACCATAAATCTCTTATAGCAATAGTTTACATATTTAATGCAAAATTTATGGAAAATTTATCACCTTCCAAGGCAATTTCTCTCTCTCTCTCTCCCCCCTCCCCTCTCTTCTTCTTCTCTCGCCCTCTTTCTGTTTTTTCATTTTTATTTTATTGTTCAAAGACCGGCGACCCATGACACCATCCACGACCCATATTTAATTTTCAATTTTGTAATACTGAGTTGGACGGGCAATTTTGAAAAAGCAAAGAGTGCAAAACCTAATCTGTAATCTCCCAACTGCTCCCCAATCCTAAATTCCCAGTCGAAAAAACCCTAGCGGCGGCGGCGAGGCGACTTCATTCCGGCGATACATTCAGGTAATGATGGATGAACTTTTTGGCTTTGAATATTTTGTGTTGTGCCTTTGAATTTCTTTGATGTAATTTGATTCTATTTCATGGTTGGTGGACATGTAAGCTTTAAAGTTTGTATGACTTTGTGTTTTATATGTTTAGATTCGAGCTTGTTGATGGACTTGTTAAATGGTTGTTGCCCTTATGGTAGTTTATTTACATTTTTTAATGGTTGGTAGACTTGTTGATGGATGTATATGGTTCACAAATTTTCTTTGTTGCCCAATTCAATTTGTTTTGCCGAACAGTATTCATCTAAAAAAGGAAACTGGGAAAGAGATAAAAACAAAGATGATGAATGCAGAGGGTGAGGTCATGAATTTTGGTGTTACTGAAGTCTTCGAAGAGGTCTATCATTGACACCGCCGACGAAGCGGGTGGGGTTTTGTACAAAAAAGTCCAGAATTTGGATGCCATTGACGATGATGAAGTCTATGAAGATGACATCCACACTTTTGAAGACTACGAAGTTGACACCTAGGTGGTGGGTGGGTCTGGACCTTCGGCGGGGGCGGCCCTCGGTCGCGGCAGGAGTGCTTGATACGGTTGCGCCAGTCCAAGCACAACAATAAACATGTTCTTAATCTAGGTTCTGAAATGAGAAACGATTGAACATCGAGAGTATATTTTATCTATATTTTATGTATATGTGTGTCTCGATTTATCACTGACTTGAATTCCGAGAATCTCGAGTGTATATCTTAAGTATATTTTAGGTATATGTTCCCGACAAGTAGACTTTTTTTAGTATATGTTAATGTCAACAGTGTATTTCTAGTATATGTACATGAGTACGATTTCAACTTGTTTTATATACTGTAAATACACATGATTTTATCTGATTAACATCAGCAATTTGTTGTTTTGGTATAATAGAAGATTATTGCAACATATACTGAATATATACGTTTAATATACACTATTAACATGATGCGATGTTAAAAAATAAACAAAAAACAGTTTGACAAGTAAAAATTACGTGTGTTTGGCGAACTATGTTTTCAGTATTGTGGGATTTTTGTATATCAAGAATAAAAAGTCCTTTGTAACTATACATTGATACATTGATTAGTCGTTTGTAATTACACTACATTGAATATTTCACTGTTTCTCGCTTCTTTCACGATTGAAGGCTTCCCATTCGGCTTCGGCCTCGTCATAATCGCTACCCATAGAATCGTCGCTGGCATAGCCGCTGCCGCCTGCGGCAACGGTTTCATCGTTTATCTTCAAATGTTCGAACTTTTGCTGCCATGGCTGTGGGGAATCGATCTGCATCGCTCAACGATGAAAATGAATTTCTAGGACTTTCGTTTTTTCTTTATCTACGCTTCTATCGGTATCAGATATTTCCTCCCAACTTTGTCTCTGTGTGTATATATTGTGTGATTGAGAGGCCTCTAGGGCTAAGACGGACTTTTATGTTTAATTAATGGGCCAATTTACACATCTATTCATCTTATAATAAGTTTTTACACATTTACAATTAAAAAAAAATAATTAATAGCACATAAACGAAAGTTACGTAATTTAATTTGTCTTATCTATTAATAAATAAAGAGAGAACCTAGATAATTTTAAAATAATAAGCAAAAAATAAGATGAAATCTCAGCTTAACAAATAACTAAATATAGGAAATTTTGTTTAAAAATTTTCGACACATGCCGCTGGATCATTTGAAGTTTTGGCAAATTTGAAATTTGGTCATTATCCCAATTTTTCATCTTATTGTTTGAAATTTTCGGTAGTTACATGAACAAATCAATTTTAAGATATTTGAGATTAGGTTTTTTAATAGTGAAACAANTTTTGGACACTCCCAAATATTTTTGGTGAATAAATAAATTAACATTTAATATTGAAACAAATCCACTTTAATATTTAGAAAGTATAAATGTTTCCTTTGAATAAAACTCCTATACATGTTTCCTTTGAATTAAATGTTAATTATTATACGTGTTTGGCATAATTTTTCAATCAGGACCGGCCAGGCGGGTCGACCCAAGACCGGTCAGCTCGGAGCCGGAACCGGTTCGGTTGGGCTATTTGGACTGGGCAACAAAGGACCCGGTCAAACCCGGTTAAAACCCGGCCAACCTGGCCTTGACCCAGTCGACCCGGGGCATTGACCCGGCTGGGCTAACTCGGTTGACCCGGCTCCTATATATTTTTTTATTATTTTTTTTAAATATTTTTGGTTTTAGAAAAATAAAACTATGTATATATATTTTATATTGTAAATACTTATCATTAAATATATATAATTAACACTTTAATGTACAAATTTTATATACAAAATATTTAATTTTATTACTTTTATGTATATTTATATGAAAAAACACTCTATATATAATTTTAAAAATTTTGAAATTAATTCTCCGGTTCAGCAATTGACCCGGTAACTCAGCGGTTGAACCGGTGACCCAGAGACATGCCCGGGTCGATTCTCGGGTTGGGTTTGAAAACTATGATGTTTGATGAATAAAACTCAAAAATCAAATGTTTCGTGAAACAAATATTTTTGGTGATTAAAAATTAATGTTAATTTCTTTTGGTGAAACAAATATTAAATGTTAATTTTTATAAAATTGCATTTTTGGTGAATAGAACTCAAATAAAATGTTTTGTTTGAAATTTTAAATATTTTTGGTGGATAAATAAATTAATAATTGAATAATATAATAATTATTGAAATAAATGTCGTATCATGTAGAAACTAGTGCGTGGCCCGTGCGATGCACGGGAAAACAATATTGATTATATTATAAATTAAATAAATAAATAACATTAATCATGATTTATCCATTATTTTTAAATTAAATCGAGTTGCACACAGTCCGACCGGATGGACCGAGAACCGGTTTATAACCAGTCTATTGCGCTTGAATAAAATATTTGCTATCGAATTCGTCAACATCAGTATGTTGGACTGGTAGGATCGATACGATTTTCTAAACAAATTTTGTTACATTAAAAATTATTTTAAATAAAATTACATATTTAAATAAAATAGAGATTTATAAATTGTTTATCAATTAGTTTAAAAATTTGAATTTATAAATTGTTTAGATATTTAAGTAACACTTTTTATTTAAATTTATTACAAAAAGTATTATATATATATATATATATATATATTAAAGTATTATGTATTAAAATCTGAACAACCACAAATGATTTAATAAAATAACTTGATCGTTTAGATGACGTTCTGGTTCTGAAAACCTTATATTTACCGTACATTAATAATTATTTTGTCCACATAAATTATAATAAAATGATATATAAATATTCATAAATCATTAATCATGTTGTCGTAAAAGTATTGTTAATATGATTATTTGAAGTTTGGACTACATAATAAATTATTTTCAATATTAAAATTTATATTTAGGTTCAATAATCGATTTAGTCTGGTCAAACTGATACATAACTTAGTTACCTGGGACCAACCAAGTTATGTTAAGTTTTTTGACTATTTTAAATATCACCTAAAAGTAATTCACAACGTGGGCAATACCATAATTCAATCACCAGATTGATCCAAAGTAATTTCATTATTTTCTTTAAATATAATATTTAATTTTATGAAATAAAAAATTTATGATTCATATGTCTACACCAAATGATAGTATATTAAGATTATAAATTATATATCTAAAGATGAATTATTTATTTTTAGTTTATGCATATTAATAAAAAATAAACATAGTAATTTATAAAAATATATATAACATGATTGAATTTCTGGATTAGAATATATATATTTAAAATGATTTTATTATTAAAAGTCAAAAAGAAAAGATGCCATAAACATTACAACTTTGAAAAGTTTGTAACCATTAATTTAGGAACCATCCGATTTTAAATGATTTATAATTTTTGAAACATGATACGTCATCTAAAACCCATTAATTTAGGAACCATCCAATTTTTTGATAATGAATTAAAATTAAAATTTAAAATAAAAAAATGCTAAAAATAGTATATAATAAATGTGGGTTGACTTTTTCTTACTACTATTTATGGTAAATGTTAATTCTTATTATATATATATATATATATAGATTTGTCAAATCTATTTAGTAATAGAATTAAATAATTAATTAAATCTGGCCCAATATCATAGGTGAAAAGTGGGCTTTTAAATATTTAACATATTCAAAACACACTGGGCCGAGGAAATGGTTTGTAAGATTGGGGCCAATATAAATTAATTCTTCAAATGCCGATGGTTTGAGTTCACTGGCCCAGTACATGGTTTTTACACATCTGAAATTTGTGTACAGAATTACAGATCGAACGGCTAATAAAGGTCAATGAGTATCTAACGGCCAGAATTAATGGAAGTCTGCTATAAAAGCCTACAAAGCCCGATCTTTTAGGGTTATTCACTTTCACTATTCCAGATTCATCTTATCCGCCGCTTCTTCTCTCTCAGTTTTGATATTTTGACTCTCGTTTTTTTCTTCTCTTTGTTGTCGATTTTGTTTTAAGTTTAAGCAAATTAAAACAGATCTATAAAAACGATTGTGAGGCATCGATTTGGGTTTTTTCGATATTCGGAATACATGTTGCATATTGATGTGCGACGCGAATCGATTTGGATTGTTACGATTTCCAAACATATCCTATATAATTTTTGTAATTTTGAGTCGATGTGAGCTATTGCTGGAAGAATCATATTTCAAACCCCGTCGATCATTACATGGTGAATAGGTAAGTTGAAAAATAATTTCGATTTTTTTTTTTTGGAATGGTTTGACTTCTTGCATATTTTTCTTTTGTTCTATTTTATAAAATGCATGTTTCGATCTGATATGTCGAAACCTAATGCTTTTTGGCTGTCGAAAATGGTTTACAGTAGCCAGATCTACTGGAATCTGACTCGTTCTTCACAGATAATGTGAATCGACAGTCGGATTTCGAGAAATGATAAAGAAAATACATTTGTCGGTCTACGATTTTTGTAATTTTCATCAATTTATTTTATGTCGGCCTACTTTTTTTTTTGGTTGAAATATATAAAAAACAGAATTGAAGAATCGACGAAACAAACTTGTTGGTTGTTAATTGTATATAATTTCATGGGGCTTTCATAAATTAACTATAACCATTTCGATAGAATAATGATAGTTTCTATGCGTTTTTGGATGGATTCAATATGTGTTAGTACTGTCCAGTTTCAGATTTTATAGAATATCATATCACTGTATATTACTAACATCAAATATATTATTCTAAATGTATGAGGTGGAGACAAAATAATCATCTACTGAATTGGGATACAAACCTATGTAATCAGACAGGCAAGTTCTTCGAATACACTTCAACTTGTTTCTACAATTCCATCAATTATTTATCATATAGTATACTGAACTGATATATTTTATTAACATAGGATACTTAAAAATTTGAATAGTAAATTATTATTAAATTTAGATCATTAAAATATCCTAAATTTAACCAATTTAGTGAAT